ACCGTTTTCGAATGCATTCAGCCGATTTTCTGATATTTAGAAAAATATCAGTAACCAGACAGTTTCTGAAGTAGGAAAAAAATATATACTATGGAAGTCAATGAGACCAAAAACGGTCTGGTTACTGATACTTTTGTAAATATCAGAAAATTGTCTGAATCCATTCGAAAACTGTAAAACTCAACTGTTTAACTCTTTGTAAACAGTTGTAAAATGAGCCTATTTCCAAAAAAAAAGTGGAGTATCCCTTTAATCAACTGCAAACTTGCATAATTTTGTCATTTTTGGTGAACTGCTCCTTTAAGACTCACTATACATATTCTTGTTAGTTATTCTGCTTCACTCAAAATTTAGAGACACATTTTAGATGCACAATGACTTCATCATCTTCAACTCAAGGCTCCAAAATTTTTCCTTTAAGACTCATTGTATCGTTAATTATTATGTTTCACTATGGAACAAAAACATGTTTTTTCATGTTTGAGCCAAGAAAGAATATACAGACATTTTAGATGCACAATGACATCATAATCATCATCAACAACTCATGGCTAGTTTTTAACCCTAAAACTGTATTCTGGACAAATGCGGGGAAAATAGTTTTGATTTATTTTTAAAAAATACTTCCCTTGATCTGAGCGGTACAAGACTTGGCTACTTTTCCTAAGTTTGCCTCCTGAACACACACAATTTTTTTTTTACTCAATTCTACAATGTTAAGTTGGTGAGAAAAACTCCTCAATCTTGTATTTGGGTCAAAAACGGGCACCCATAGAAATGAATGGGAAAAACTGTAATTTAGAGCATTCTAAAATAAGCCAAAATAAGACACCAGGTGACAGCAAAGTCACTTCATCTTTAGGTTTCAGCTCTAAGAACTTATTGGAATGATAATTTAATGTAGTTAAAAAAATAAGCATAATTTACATAGAAAAATATGGTACTTTTTGAAGTAAATAAATTCAAAAATACCCCCAAAATAAAAAAAAAACACCATAAATGGATAGACAAAACTTTATGGAAGACAGTGATATAACATTTATAATAAATAAAAATTAGGATCACACCTGAGTCCTCTGTGCCCACATTTGTCCACAATCACAGGATTAAGGGCTATAAAGTGAATACGGTTTGAGGGCTACTGACATCATTGCTCTTCAAAATGAGTTTTGGAACCTTATTTGTGGCTGAAATGTTCCTTAAAAGATCCACGGTTCATTACTGTAATCGAACAATACGGACACAAACATCCCACGAAAAAACGCCCACTGCCTCAACACATGCTAAACTCAAGGAGATAATCAGCACTCAGCGAGTGATCTAAAGAAAATGACTGACAACAAAGTTTAAGCTGCCGGCGTCAGTATTCGGCTCATCTGTGCCCATATAAATACACATAATCTGTATGACCGTGTTATTTTTCCCAGTGCATGAATCATCCACACGAACAATATGTCACACGCACTCATTTCAAACAGTGCCAGAGGATACGAGCAGATGCACACTGTGTTTAAAGGCAGGTTTGTGCTTGACTGAATTCCTGAAATCAATCGCTGCTCTGAATGAACATGATGAGCGATAAGGTCACCATGGAAACGGTCTCGGCGCAGCATCTTCAGGCGTGCGCCAGTGTTAACCTCTTAAGTGGCAACGGCACGCTCAGCATCACAACACACACACGTCAACATGAGCACAGCCTCCGCTATCTTAACAGATGGATTAAAAGAGGCAGAAGACATCATGGGAGCACAATGAAGCAAACTAGAAACAGCAAGGTGAATTCTGGGAAATGTGTCCTGCTAATAACACGTCTCTGTTGGAAGAAATTCACACATATATAATCATATACCATGCACAAGAAACTTAAAGGGTTAGTTCACTCATAAATTAATTCTGCCATTAATTATTCATCCTCATGTTGTTTCAAACCCGTAAGACTTTCGTTCATCTTCGGAACAAAAATCTGAGAGCTTTCTGTCCGTCCATTGACAGCTACACAACAAAACATCAAAACGTTCATAAAGATATTGTAAAACTAATTCATATGAACTGAGTGTTTTAGTCCAAATTTTCTGAAGAGACTATTTACTGAACAGATTTAAGTATGACTTTTATTCACATATAAACATTGATCAGCGAACATGAACAAAATTTCATCCGAAACTGCTTGACGCGAGAGAACAAACCTCTTGCTGAAGCTCAAACATGATGCGTAACACGAGGATGAACCTCATTGGTTCTTGCTGAAGCTCAAACATGATGCGTAACACGAGGATGAACCTCATTGGTTCTTGAGAAGCTCAAACGTGATGCGTAACACGAGGATGAACCTCATTGGTTCTTGAGAAGCTCAAACGTGATGCGTAACATGAGGATGAACCTCATTGGTTCTTGAGAAGCTCAAACGTGATGCGTAACACGAGGATGAACCTCATTGGTTCTTGAGAAGCTCAAACGTGATGCGTAACACGAGGATGAACCTCATTGGTTCTTGAGAAGCTCAAACGTGATGCGTAACACGAGGATGAACCTCATTGGTTCTTGAGAAGCTCAAACGTGATGCGTAACATGAGGATGAACCTCATTGGTTCTTGAGAAGCTCAAACGTGATGCGTAACACAAGAATGAACCTCATTGGTTCTTGAGAAGCTCAAACATGATGCGTAACACGAGGATGAACCTCATTGGTTCTTGAGAAGCTCAAACGTGATGCGTAACACGAGGATGAACCTCATTGGTTCTTGAGAAGCTCAAACGTGATGCGTAACACGAGGATGAACCTCATTGGTTCTTGAGAAGCTCAAACGTGATGCGTAACACGAGGATGAACCTCATTGGTTCTTGAGAAGCTCAAACGTGATGCGTAACACGAGGATGAACCTCATTGGTTCTTGAGAAGCTCAAACGTGATGCGTAACATGAGGATGAACCTCATTGGTTCTTGAGAAGCTCAAACGTGATGCGTAACACGAGGATGAACCTCATTGGTTCTTGAGAAGCTCAAACGTGATGCGTAACATGAGGATGAACCTCATTGGTTCTTGAGAAGCTCAAACGTGATGCGTAACATGAGGATGAACCTCATTGGTTCTTGAGAAGCTCAAACGTGATGCGTAACATGAGGATGAACCTCATTGGTTCTTGAGAAGCTCAAACGTGATGCGTAACATGAGGATGAACCTCATTGGTTCTTGAGAAGCTCAAACGTGATGCGTAACACGAGGATGAACCTCATTGGTTCTTGAGAAGCTCAAACGTGATGCGTAACACGAGGATGAACCTCATTGGTTCTTGAGAAGCTCAAACGTGATGCGTAACATGAGGATGAACCTCATTGGTTCTTGAGAAGCTCAAACGTGATGCGTAACATGAGGATGAACCTCATTGGTTCTTGCTGAAGCTCAAACGTGATGCGTAACACGAGGATGAACCTCATTGGTTCTTGAGAAGCTCAAACGTGATGCGTAACATGAGGATGAACCTCATTGGTTCTCGCAGAAGCTCAAACGTGATGCGTAGCACGAGGATGAACCTCATTGGTTCTTGAGAAGCTCAAACGTGATGCGTAACACGAGGATGAACCTCATTGGTTCTCGCAGAAGCTCAAATGTGATGCGTAACACGAGGATGAACCTCATTGGTTCTGGCAGAAGCTCAAACGTGATGTGTAACACACGAGAAAGAGCAATTGAAGAACTTTTCGATTTTGGATGAACAATCCCTTTAATATTAGTCAGTTCGTCAAGGTCACGGTTACTTAAGTTCTCATAGAAAATTGAGAGAGCAGACAAAGCCTGAGATGACGTACAGAAACAATTAATTATTGACTTGATCAACAACTCAACCTCGCCTCCTTGTTTGGTCCGTCTCTGCAAAATTCAATCACGACCAATTAACCAACTCAGTTAAACTCCCAGTTTACTACCAAACTTCCAATTTGACAGCCAATAATATTGTGAAAATGACATGATATGGTTTAGGTTGACCATTAATGTGAACATCAGTCTAAAACACTTTCTCTCATTGTAATCATTTCAATTGACCTTGTTTCTATAAAAGAAATTTTTCATTAAACAACTGATATAAGGTAAAAACTGGAGAAAATGTATCATTATAGTTGAGTAACAACAATATGAGGATTTTAAACTAGATGCACCATAATCAGAGCAAAATGAGTTAAGACATTTACTCAGAAAACAAAGCAGGAAAGGAAAAGATCTTTAAAACTGTGCATCTGAATTAGCCTGCAATAATCTCAATAATTAATATTTTTCTTTCCCACTGACGTTCCCAGTCTCCTCCAACCCATCGTTTAATTAAGATTTCAAATGCCGTCTCACGGAAAAGAAGCTCCATTATGGTTCTGGGTTGTGTCACGTAAGTGTGGGAGGGCTGTGATTATTTTCTCTCCCTTAATCAGGCCAAATTTAAACAAGAGTGTTTTAACAGAAGATAAAATGCCTGCACTTGAGAGAAGGTTTACGTCCTGGACAAACTGAGATTTAAAGGACGCGCTGACACCTGTTACTAATGTAGTCTAAATTTGGAGATACGCGCGTTCAGATGTAGGCTATGCAAGGGCGCGTAAACACAGACCTTCACCCATGGTCTGTGATATGTTTGCTTTGTCAAGATTTGAGAGTTATTAGCCTAATATGTGACACCTGCCTTTCCAATACGCGTTTCTGACCATTACGCACACCAGCACGAGCGCTTACGAGAACTCATTTTTGATGCATGCACGAGTTGTGATGTCTTTACTAAGTTTGTTGCCATTGTCACAGGTTTTAAACAGTTTTAGGTGACATGGACGCGCGTCCCTACCCTGCCACGTTTCCAGCACACACTATGCACAAGAAGCATGCGTGAGAACTTAAACGCAAAACAGACTTATCTGCACGCACGCCTGAGTTTAGACGTTGTTTGGACGTTCTATTTAAACACTGGAAGAGAGTCGCACGCGCGCGCAACCGTTTGGAGACTCCGCGGTGCGCTCTTACCCGGGCGGCTCTAGAGGAGTACGGGTCCTCGAACAGGTTCCAGATGACCGGCTGCCACTTCCTCCACCTGCTGACGGTGCCGTCTGCGGACACCACATCCTCGATGCCCAGTCGCTTGCCGTACTCGTCGTCCTCGTCGTTGTCCACGTTCATCTCGAACACATCCAGCGCCTCTTCAGCATCCCGGTGCTGTCGGTAGGTCATCCAGCAGCACGGCTCCACGTCCGTCTCATCGATGCCCCAGAAGGACAGCTCCTCCTCGAACAGCGGACCGCACACGTCCGCCGGGCAGTGCAGCTTCCCGGTCCGGTAGTAGTTGAGCACGTACGCGAAGACACCCGGGTGCCGGTCGAAGAAGTACTCGTTGCTGCGCGCGTTGTACTCGATGAACCCCGGAACTTGTTGCAGCTGGTCCAGAACCGACTCGAGGTCCGACTCGGAAGCGAGCAAGGCCAGACGCGTGCCCGGCAGGGTCTTCAACGTGGTCCGGTAAGTTTCGTGCCTCGTGCCCCCGACGTTGAGGATTACCCTCTCGTGCTCGTCGAACTTGCCCATCTCTCAGAGTGAGACATGACGCGAGGGGAGTAACGTTACTCTACGATGCTGTGGCGATGCTTGAGTACTCCAATAGTTCACGAACAGCCTCATTGAACTGACGTGTCGAACCGAAGGCTTCGCTTTATTCCTGGCGCGCGAGAGGAGAACTCACTCGCGCTCCCAAAGGCGCGTCTCTGAGGGTAATGAGCGCGCGCCTCCGACCAGCCCTGAGCGCGCAGACAGGTAAAAGACACGGCGCGAGAGCTCTTCCTTCTATCGACCCATTATCACCTGAGAGCAACAAGCTCGCTCTCTCTCGCTCGCTCTCTCTCTCTCTAGGACACACCCTTTCTCTTCAGTGGCATTCGGCATAAATATAGCCTATTCATATAAATATGATGTCATAATATATGATGGTTTTCACACCAGCTCGAGATGTTCAAATTAGATTCGGAATATTTTTAACTGTTTACAGGATTGAATCTTCCTGAATGAACTCGCTGAATCAGTCAAAGCAGTCAATGAATTAACTTTAAGCTACCTGTACTTTCATTGATGGAATATTTTAATAAAATACATTTCTTTCAACAAAGAAACCGTAACCTATTTGTTTACCATAAAAATCTACAGGTAATAATAAAAAAAGTGTGTCGTGAACATTAGAGGCATTGCATTAAAAAACTAAATTTACTCAAAGTGAGTAATACTGGAAAGAAACATCCATTTCATAATTTAAAGGTGGATGGTGTTTTCTAAGTGTGTAAAACAGAGTTTCCATTCTCTAGGGCAGAAAAAACAGCTGGACTGAGTGATTCATCATCTCTGACTCACATGCACTCATTACAGTCTCCACTGGTCTTTCCCACAAACAGAAAATAGCCACTGATTCTCTCACAAGCGGGAGCTGTGTTTTACCGGTTGAAGATCTGAAAGTTTGTGCATTCAAACCCCCAAAATATTTATTGGCCGATAGATGGATGGACGGACGGTCGGGTGGATGGATATATTGACGAACGAACGGACAGATGGACAGACGGACGGGCGGGTGGATGGACGGGTGAATGGATGGAAAGATGGACCAAGACAGATGAACGGATTGATGTGCAAGACCTCTAATGGATTTAACTTAACTATTTATTCTTTCATTTATTTGTTTATTTATTTATGCGTTCATTTATGTATTTATTTCCATATTTATTGATTTATTTTTACTTTTCCATGTGCAACATGGAAATAAAGGAGGCGGTCTTTCATCTATTTATTGATTGATTGATTGATTGATTGATTGATTTATTATTAGCTGGATTTATGACCTCAGTCTCAAAGCTGATTCTCATCGTTCAGTTTCTACGAAAACATTGACACTGTGTGTAAAAACAGACAGGATTCACCTGTGCCACAACCCCCAGAGCAAAGATATCAGCAGTCCCACTGAGAAGAGCATGTTTGCATGAATAAAACATGCATGAACACATGCATTCCCACACACCAGCGTCTTAATCCTGTTTGCAAATACAGAATTAAAAATAGTATCAAGACTGGTTTGACATTGATAATTCATAAAGCCATAATAACTGCTATAACCAAGAGAAATCTTCAAAATTACCTTTATCCCACATTTCTTTGCAACTTCAGAAGTCATATTCAACGCTGCTTGATGTTTTTAGTTTTTTTTTCCTCTAATGCATTACAGAGCTAAAATTAATGTGTCGTGAGCTGGTTTGGCAACACAAATGAATGTGCAAGCTTCCTCTGAGAGTAAAACTGAACAAAACTCTTTCCCTATGGACATTTTAGATGTTGTGCAGTTTATATATCTTGGAATACTGAACCTGAAATAAACAGGAAAGAAAGTGTTGCTCGCCATATAAAAAAAAAAAACTACTAATAATGAATGAGTTTCACAGTACAGTTCACAAATGCATCATATTTTGATCACAGATGCACCACACGGTTTTGGCGGCACAGAACTCATATCCAAAACTGACCTTGATTTAATCATGAAACTCATCCTCCTGCTACTGTCTGTGGTCATCTTGGACTGTAGGTCTAGTTTAGATCTCCATGATGGGTCGTGGGTCTGTTTGGATGGTTTCTGGACAAAAGGAAAAAACAATGATGCACAATTTTGTCCATTTTAGACCGCGGTTAATATTTCACTTCATAGGAACGAAACTTGCTATTAAAACCACACAAAACAATATGAACATGATTGGAAAAGGTCTTGAAGTGAAATGGTCATATGAAATGGTATAGAACATTTTGGGGGGTACAATAATAATAAAAAAAATCAGCGCAGATGAAGAACAGTACCTAACAAAAGAAATTATGTCTGAAAATAATTTTATAAACAATATATACAAGCACTCTCTGTCGCTCACGGATATTTTATCTTTTTCAGATCATTCTCTGTAATCCCTAAATCAAAAAAGATGATTGTGTGTGAAACTCCCAGTAGATCAGCAGTTTCTGAAATACTCAGACCAGCCGGTTTGTCACCACCAACCATGCCATTAAATCAGCTTTCTTCCTCATTATGATGCTCAGTGTGAACTTCAGCAGAATGTCTTGACCATGTCTATGCCTACATGCATTAAGTTGCCACCATGTGATTGGCTGATTAGAAATATTTGCATTGACAAGAAGCTGAAAGGTGGCCAGTGTGTGTGTGTATGTGTGTGTGTACTACACATGTCCCTTCATCCCACCAGTAAAGAATAAAACATTAAAGAAAAAAAATTATTGAAACAAAATACGGTAACACTTTACAATAAGGTTCATTAGTTAACATTAGTTAATGTATTTACTAACATGCACTAACCATGAGCAATACATTTGTTCCTGCATTTGTTCATCTTTGTTATACAGCTGTTCATCATTTGTTCATGAGTTCACGGTGCATTAACTAATGTTAACAAGATTTTAATCAAGTATTAGTAAATGTTGAAAATAACATTAACAAAGATTAACAAATGCTGTATATGTGCTATTCATTATTAGTTCATATTAACTAATGTTAACTAATGTTAACTAACGAACCTTATTGTAAAGTGTTACCCAAAATACATTAGCCTACATTTATTTTATTCATTTAAAAATGTTTTGTTCATGTGTTTTTTTATTGCAATTTATATATAATTTCTGGGTTTATTAGTCTCTAAATTAACAGCTTGTGTTCTTTTGTTTTTATGCAGAAACAGTTTTAGGTTTTTTTCAATGTTTTTCGACACATCTGTTCATCCGCTAGCATCTAATCCAAGGGTTAAGGACATAGAAGAGAGTCGATACAATGTTTGCTCATCTCGGTCTCCTGAAGCAAAACCAGCTGAGAAATGAATAATTCTAGCAACAATCACATAATCAGAAGAGATCTTATAATGAAAAACCGTCTCGGGTCTCATTAAACTCCCCATATTAATTAAAAGTCTATTCCCAGAAAGAGACAGGACCAGGTACGAGGGCAAATGTGGTTAGCACATCCCATTAGGTGTGTAAACGCATTGATTAAGGTTGATGGGAGAGAAGCGGCTCTAATTGATGGAAGCAGATTGTTCTGGGACGTCCAGCCCCTGTGGACTCAGTCTGGAAGGTGAAATCTCTCACAGCATTAATCCTCCTCTCTGTCATTAATTCACATGCATTCACCGTGTCATGTTTGAGCGGACAGCCAGACTTAAAAGAAAACCCAACAGGCAACACGCGCGCTGTGACATTAAACGAGTCATATAGACTAGTGTTTAGGGATTAGATTCGCTGTAGGAATGAAACACGAGGGAAAGTTTTTGATGTATTACACTGTAGCGTCCTCTGTTGCTCGCACGAGGAACTGCACATAAACTAATGATTTGTTCTTGCAATAAATTGCGAAAAAGTTGAAATGTTTGAGCTGATGCCTTTAATACTCATTTTTATCCTAATGCTATATTCCTAGTTAGAACCTAGACTAGTTGGCCATCACTTTTTATCAGACAAGTTCAAGTCTTATTCTGGACGTTTTAATTACACATAAAGCGGCCAATCACACACTCAGGTTCTATATAGAACCTTAAAAGGTTTTATCAGCGCTACGTATTTAGAACCCCTAAAAAGGTTCTATACAAAATCATTTTTAAGGGTCCTTTGTAACCAGGAAAATGGTTCTGTATTGAACCTTTTGGCTTCATTCATCATCATTTGTTTTGTCCTTTCCAGATTAAATATTTCATATAATTGACAAACATCAAGATCATAAAATGTATTTATGAATGCATGTGAATGATCACAAAATTCAAGACATATGGGGGTTAGAAAATGTCAATGTTTAAATCATTTTATAGTTAATCAATATCACACGAAGAGGGACGTTTCAGTTTTTCTCCTCCAAAAATCAGCATGATTAAAATAAGTTACTAAAACAGTTTAATAAACAATAATTTAATTACAACTACAAAATGTTGCAAAATAATGTAATATATGAATGAATAATAACCTATATAGAACCTTTCTTGTCATTATAGAACCTTTACACTCTTAGAAGAATTGGTTCTATCTAATGGTCCCCCGCTTCATATATGGAACTCCAAATCTATATAGAACCATTTATTTTTATTTTTTTTGGTAAAAGGTTCTATTGGCCAAGTACGGAACCCCAGGGTTCTATATAGAACCCAGAGGAACCCTTTTTTTAAGAGTGTATAGAACCTTTTAGGGGTTCCAAATACGTAGCGCTGATATAACCTTTTCTTCTAAGAGTGTAGGTTCTTTGGAGTTGAGTAAAGATCCCTATGCTTCATATATAGAACCCCAATGAACCCTTTTTTCTAAAAGTGTAGTTCAATCCACAGACAGGTTGGTTGGCAGTCTATTGTTAAAAATCAAAGCAAGTGGCTTTCATATAATTTCCAAGCATTTGAAACAATATTTAGCAACATTTGCAATCAGCCTTTGATTGACACTATCGATGGATTGATATCATTCATTCAAGCCACATTCTGACCCATACCATTTACATGGCAAAACAGATTGAGTTACATCAGACCAGGTGACTTTAGTTTGCTGGTCTTACCTGACTCAGCTGCTGAACTCCATCCATGTTACACCTCGCTGTTTTCTCACACCATCTGCTATAAACTCTAGAGACCGCAGTGTGAGAAGATCCCAGAGGATCAGCGGTTCAAACTCAAAGCACTCAGAGTCATATTTCTTAACAACTGAACATCTTACTTTCATGCATCCACCCGATTGGCTGATTAGACACTTGCATTAACGAGCAGATAAACAGGTGTGTCTAAACACGCGGAGTGCATATGGAAGAACACCTAAAACTGCATTAATAATCAGTTAGAGACATGTAATACCAAGTGCCATAATAAACACCCGCACAACACATTTTATATTTGGAGTTTATTTAAGGCTTTCAACAGTTGCATATATCAATCAGCATAACACATACTCAGCAAAAACAATAATGAGCACAGGTAGTGCGGTGTCTTATTGCATGCCAGATGCTAAATCACATCATTTAAAGTCCGTGCAATAAAATTATGAAAATAATTTTCTAATAAGACCAGTTGCATGTTGATTTCAGCACTACTTTCATATTTTTTCAACAAAAAGAGTGACAAAATTATGAAAAAATATTATAAAAGGGGAAATAGATGCAACTTTTAACCATCTAATCTAGTGTATGATCACATTTAGTGTTTGGTATTTGATTCAAGCTTTAAAAAAGAAAGCTCACAGCCGTAACGTTCGTCATCCAGATTTAATAACTCTTAGAAAACGTTTCGTTTGCAGTCCTCACGCCTCATATGATTGTCAAACCAAAAACATGCACCCGTGTAAAACCTCCTCCGCAGGCCATGGAAAACATGCAAATAAAACATGAAGCCAAAAACATCGGTAGCTGCCTTGGATTCACAGAGGGAAATGAAGTGAAAGCAGGAGCATAGTGACATATACATGACAGATTCAAACTGAAGATTATACAGCAAACACAGGAATCATTCATATTCACATCCCTCCATTACATTAGCCTGTGAACTATTATAACGATTTTAGAAATGCTGACTAAGGATATCTATAGTTTTTTGGCTATTGGCTGACATTTTTTTTGCCTCGATGATGTCAGCTAAAAGGAAAGTCACTTTCTTAGGAAAGACAAACATTTTCTTATTTGGAATAACATTTATGAATCATTTACAGACCTAAAGCACGTACACTATTGTTCAAAAGGTTTGGAAAACTTATAAATATTATTGCAATATAAAATAACTGTTTTCTGTGTGAATATATTTTAAACTGTAATTTATTTCTGTGATCAAAGCTGAATTTATCTTCATATTATTGTGTCACATAAGATGATTTGATGCTCAAGAAACATTTTTTATTATTAATGTTGAAAACAGTTTATATTTTTGTGAAAACCGTTATGCACAACTAGTCAAAAAATATTTGTTAAACTTTTTTTTTTTCAATTTACAAATTTAAAAAGGACTTTTATTCAGCAAGGACACATTAAATTGACAGTAAAGGCCTTTATATTGTTACAAAATATTTACATTTAAAACAAATGCTGTTCTTAAAACTTTCAAGCCATCAAAAGAATCCTGAAGAAAATGTAAAGTTTCCACAAAAATACGAAGATTGATAATAATCAGAAACGTTTCTTGAGCAGCAAATGATCATATTAGAGGGATTACAGGATCATGTGACACTGAAGGCTGGAGTAATAATTTGATCACAGGAATAAATCACATTTTACAATATATTCAGATAGAAAACCGCTCTTGTATATTGTAACAATAATTCACAACATAAATGTTTTTACCGTATCAAATAAAAGCAGCCTTGGCTTTTGAATGGTAGTGTATTAAGAAAGTAAACAAGGTGGATTTTGATAAATGCAGTGAAATATGTAGATGTAAACGACGAACCAACGAGTCGTGTTCGCTTCATCATGAGGAATTCAATAAATAAATATATAAATAGATTTCTGTTGGATTATCGTCACAGTTACTCAAGCCTGTTGCGTCGCCGTAATCCTCCAGTCAGATCTTCTGGAAGTTTCTGAGTGACGGTGACGTCATCTACCCCGACGTCACCCGAGTCCTCGAGAGAGGGCATACTAGAGTCACTCTCAGCACCCACGTCTTCCTCTCCCGCTCTCTCCTCGTCCTCATCTTCCTCCACCTCAGAATCAGGTCTGAGCGCTCGGTGATCGAGTGGCTGCGTTTCATCGTGTGTTTGTGATTCCAGACGAGTTTCTGGAAGAGCTTCGGCTGAAGTCAAAGTCTCGATGAGTCGGTCTAGATTGCGTTCACATGACGGCTCTGAAAGAAATAACCAAGAGATTCGCGTTACTCAGCAGCACAACCAATCAGAAGCAGGAGCAGCAGCCCTAAAACCACACTGTGTGGATGTCATGGCATTACATAAAGCTCTTTTTCTCCTTTTGTGTGTGTGTGTGTGCTTTACACATTGCTCTTAAATGGGTGTATATCATATTACATTTGTGTGTATTATGTTAAATGTGTGTATTTAGATTTAGTATTCGTGGCTGTGTTTAAATGTGCTTTATAAATGAATTAAACTGGCACATTATGGCACATAATCCCATATTCAGCATGATTTATTAACACAAGATCTTCACCGCTCAACTCGACTGACAGGAATAACAGCATGACCTGCGTGATGTTGGCCGATTCAGTGCTTCTTTGTCTATCCCAATAATTTGCTTATGATATATATTATTTTCAAAGAGCTGCTTCATTGATTGTGGTCGTCTGCATTAGTTATGCATAACTAGAATTTGCATTTGCACAATACATTGAGATACACCAGCAGCACTTACTCACGGACATGAATGTAAACCTATATATAAAAGATTTACACATACATCCAATTAAGATTTTTTTTTTTTTTTTAATGGAGCAAAATACCAGAACAATTTGATTTATAAATATGTTCAAAATACAGTTTAATAAAATCCCATTCCCAGTGCTGTAATGCAAAAAATATATAGGTAACACTTTACAATAAGGTTCATTAGGTAACATTAGTAAATGCATTAACTAACATGAACTAACGATGAGTTACAGCGTTTATTAATCTTTGGCAATGTTAGTTAATACAAATACAGCTGTTCATTGTGCGTTCATGTTAGTTCACAGTCCATTAACTAATGTTAACTAATACTACCTTTGATTTTAATAACGTATTAGTAAATGTTGGAATTAATATTAACTAAGATTAATAAATGATGGAGAAGTATTGTTCACATATTGTACATGTTAACTAATGAACCTTATTGTAAAGTGTTACCAATATATTTACTAATTAAATAAAGATAAAAACCTATAAATAATAGATGCATATATTGCAGAATTTGAGTAGCTGATTTAAATAACACAAAACATTAGCCTACTGCTTTGTACTCAAAAGTGTAATTTTGTAATGAGTTGCATTATGTTATTGAGATTGAGTGGGAAATAATGAAAACATTCCTTAAATGTTGCAGGTCATTTTGACCCAAGCTCTGAAGCAGCTCTGAAATAACTTTTTGGGGGATTTTGGGACATTTAACATGCTGACGTCAACCTGTGTGTGTTAATTGTGCGGGTTTGTACACGGGAGCAGATGTGTTTACCTTCTATCCTGATGTTTGGAAACTCCATGCCTCTCTTCTTCATTAGCTGGCGAATGCACTGCAGCTGCGACATGATCTCGTTCTTCTGCTCCATGGCAACAGACTTCACACTGCAGCACGACAGAACGAATAAACAGCAGGTGGAAAAACAAGCCCACACGGAAGAAGCCCGACAACCAACCGGTCGCTATGAGCGTGCAAGCATGTTTCCATTTGCAAGCCGCAAACCCGCTCTGTTTGTTTTTGCATTACCACGAACAAAAGTCTGTGAATATGGTTTATATGCTCAATATCTCACATTTATTTCAAACGAAGGGGTTCAAACATGTGTTAGCTTGAGCTGCACGATTCTGGAGACAATGAAGAAGAATGGAGAATTACAATTTTTCTGGTTAAGTTGGAGATCATGAGTCTTCCACACTTCTGAATGGACCACTAAACAAAATAACGTGTCATTTACTGGAGGTTCTTACAAAATGTTCATTGCTGAAGTCTATTTAAAGGTGCATTGCGCAACATCTCATGTTAAAAATACCCGTTTTTCGAACCCAACAATTGCCTGATGGGCTGAATGAGCCCTTCTCTGATCACTGCGATTGCCTCTATAATCCTGTACAGTAAAATAAATAAGAGGGATTCAGGACGGAGTTTGAGAGTGGGTGGGACGTCATGTGCGTTCACACTCGCCTGGCGGGTTTGTGTATTCGCCGCCGTTCTCCGTATCAGCGAAGACAACTCGAGCGACAAAACTTTAGTCAACTTTTGACAAAAGTAGACGATGGATTCAAAGAGACATGCTTGTAGTTCATTTCAAACCCCAACGCAAACTCCACGTAAGACAAAGAAAATAAAACTTGTGTCTAGTGCCAGGCGTCGGAATGAGACTAGAGTCGACATCGGGAAGTTTTCACCAAATGGAGAGATCTCCGGTCTGCTCTATGGCTCAAACGGGATACAAAGTAATGACTTATATTGTTCATGAACGTGTTTCCGTAATAATACAATCATAAGTGGATACAATAAACACATAAAACAGTTCAACATGGAGTAAGATGCAAACAAAAACCGAAGTTTTCTACTACCCCCGTTTTCCCCTCACACACAATTTACACAAACGCCTTTCCTTTCATATATTTAAAATGACTTGCAGATTTATAACTGTATTACCTCTGAAGACATTATGACTGTAACGAAAAATTTGTGCGACTGGTTATGAACAACTCGTGTGTGTTGTCTGTGAACAGGTTGCAGTTTCGCTTGTCGCCAGAGGTGGCGTAGTTCTGCAAAAACTCAGACACTTGTGCAATGCACCTTTAAACATATTTTTAAATGAAAAATAGTATTTAAAAATATTTTTGAATTAATGATTCAATGACTCACTCATAGACTTATTTCACTACTGGATGAATCAGATGTTTTTAAACGAATCTCTTGAATGAACGATTCAATGACAAATTCATTTTTAACAGCCGTATGTCGCCACCAACTGGTGTAACGGTGTAATTGTTCAAAAGGCGATTTACTTCTGTAGACAGTGTTTATATCAGAACTACAAACTTTCATCCTAGTACTTCTGGGACAATTTGAATTATTGTGGTTGAAAAGACTAACCTTATACATGACTGCTTCTGAATCAGTGTGATCATATTTACTGTCACGATAAGTAGCTCTTACCAGTTTGTAAGCGGGTCCAGCTGGGTCAGTATGGAGTTGAGCATCTTCTCGGTCTGAGCTAACCTCTGCTCCAGCTCATTCAGCTGATTCTCTGGAAACAATGACAAACAATGCACTTTCTGAGTATATTAAATAAATGGTGGGATATTACACACACAAATTTCAGCATTTTCATTCATGCACACAAACCTGTCTCCTCTGATTTCTTCACTCCTCGCGTTGTTTTGGCTTTTTGAGCTTCAGAATCACTTGCAGACTTTATCTGCAAACACAAAGCCTATTTTTAGGACCATTCATTTTTTATGCATTGTGCCATAATTTCTTTGACCTTTCGTGAATGCAGAAGAAACATTGCCGAGTTATGCATAGCAACAAAAATGTCACCACCTTTAGAAACTTATAAGCGGCAAAGAGCCCGACTCCGATGGCGTAGATGGGCATGAGAGTGAAGACGTAGCCCTTAGTGTTGCTGTTGGATTTGTATTTGTCGCTTTTCATCTCCTGCTCCATGAGTTTCTTCATCTGATGCATGTTCTCCACATTGTGGGACATTTGAGGCGCTGCGTTCTTGTGGAACTGCTGCTGACTTTTCACGCTACCAGGACCCACACCAGAACCAGGACCTGCAGAACCACACACAGACTCACAATCTCCAAAATATACAACAGATTCTCCAGAGAGACAATGCAAAAACTATTGTGAACATTAAAATGATATCGAACACTGGGGTTTGATTGCTTGGTGCACAACACAAAATATAAATGATATCAAAAAATAAAACAAAAGTTTCCCAAATATAAGTTATGTTTACAGAATGCAATATTTACATTTAAGTTTAGCATCTTTAAAAGCAAATTACACTTTTACTAAAAAATGAAAATGATATTAAACATTAGGATTTAATTACTGGGACAAAACATACATATCTAAAAAATAAAATAAAAGTCACTCAAATGTATTTATGTACGTTTTTTTAAAGAACAGAATATCAAACATCAATATCTAACATTCAGATATAAGTTTAGTACGTTTGAATGTAAATACAGATAAATGCAAATGACAGCTTCCTCTGCTCTTTTACTAAACAAATTTTGAACATGAAAATGACCTTAAACATTAGGATATTTAAGAACTGGAACATACATATCTAAAAATAAAATAAAAGTTAGTCAAACGTGTTTTAGGATTTTAAGGGACAGGCTGCATCCTAAATTAATATATGAATATGTAAAATATCAATAAAAACAGATACATAAAAGCAAATATGGATAAGCGCAATGGATAAAAGCAAATATGGATAAGCGCAAATGACAGCTTGCTCTGCACTTTTACTAAAAAATTATTTTGAATAGAATAATCATTGTGATTTGTTTGCTTGGTGCACGAGACAAAATGTAAACATCTAAAGAATAAAATAAGTGAATCAAATCTATTTTATGATTAAGATTTTTAACATATTTACCGGTAGATACAACTTTAGCATGTATGAATGCAAATATGGACAAATGCAAATGACCGCGTCCTCTGCACTTTTACTAAAATAATTCTGAACATGAAAATGATATTAAATATCGACTATAAATATAGATACGATAACAAGAAACATTTTCTGAAGTAAACTAAAGGTGTTAATACAAACTTCACAAACCAGAGACGTAGTAAAATGTGCAGCAAATCAGCAAAGACAGTCAAAAGGCCACAATAAAGAGAGTAAACAAACACAGGTGTGCTCGTGCTCGCGCCCGCACCTCTCCTGCTGATCCGCGGGTCGAAGGACTGCGCGTCTCTGGCGCTGCCGCTGAACATGCGAGGAAACAGCACAAACACCAGCAGCACTGCGGTGAACGCCATCACAAGCTGCTGCGAGGACGACAACACCATCTCTGTATGGGAACGAATGCTGATCAATGATCCACCAAAATAATGTGACGTCTTCTTCTGTTTGTGTGTGACGAGTGCGCCATCACTGACCTCTACAGGACTGGCGTGACATTACAGCTTCACTCTGTTAGATTTTTTTTTTATGTTAAAATCATAAACATGATTGTTTTTTCTCCGTTACCTTTGTATGTAAATATCAACATTGATTTTTGGACATTGTAACTACATAGGTGTCAGATCCGTTAGTCGCAGAACCACTTTTATTGACACATTTTGCGTTTTGATCATGAAACCGACCAAATTCCAACGCTAGAGGGCACCACCAACTATATTGTTAAAGTCGTTATATTAATCAATTATGAAACATGACTAGCCTACTATAAATGATTAATACGTGATATTTTAATTATTGTATATTTTGTAGATTCAGTTATAAGTCATTTACAATTGATAACAAGTAACATCATTTATTAAACATTTATGAAACGCATAGTCATGTTTAGTAAATGATTAGTTAATCATTAGCTAACCACAAATGACTTACAACTAAAGTGTTACCATATATGTTTCTGCACTCTAAAGCCTTTTCTGAAGGTCTAATTTCAGAGGCGTTATTTCTCATTTCTAGTTCAGAGAACAAGAATGAACATTCAGTTTCGTTGGATGCACCTAACAAGTAAACAAAATTTCTGCAAGCAGAACTATATTTTTCATTTGTTACACTTACATTACAAAACATCTGTTACATTACATCATTACATTACAGTTACAATACATTACATCTACATCTGAAACTCATTTCTGTATTAACTGAGTAACCGTTTATCTAAGGTTATTTTGTTAAAATGCAGTTTATAAAATATGAAATAGGTTGTTAAATCAAAAGATATGTCCTTCCAGATAAAGTCCCTGAGATGCCGCCACACTGGCACTGGAAGTTCTGGCCGCTTTGAAATGAGATTGTCATTTTGTAAACACCACTTTTGGAAACATTGAGGCACCCCAGACAGCAACATCCGGTCCAGATCTGGCCATCCGGGCCAACACTATGTTGCTGTTTGGGATGGATGTACCAATACCTATGTACCTATGATGGCATGATGATGAGGGGGACAGATTGTCAAGTGTAATACCAGTTTTTTTTTCCTTCAGACTTTTGTTGACAGTTGGCGTCATATGCTATTTACTTTAAAGAAATAAAACAGAAAGAAAGAAATAAAGTTGTCTTTTTATTACACATGCAGGGTTTTTCCTGGCTTAAAATGAGGCAGAGGTGGTAAAATCCTGATCATGTAATTAATAAGATAATAAAATGTGTATTTTTCGTAGACCATCATATATAGTCTACTGTGGTACCCACAGTATTTTGTAGGAAATCTTTTCTTCAAAGGGCTTTAAATGATTCCAGACGATGAATAAGGGTCTTATCAAGCGAAACAATCGCTCATTTAAAAAAAAAAGTTTTATAAGCTCAAATGGTCACCTTGCTCTGTTCTGTGATGTGCGTTCGTGACTCTCCTGTTCGAACTCGTTCCTCAAAATGAACGAATCTCTTTTCGTGTCATTTGTTTCAGTCAACGAACGAAATGAACTAATTGACTCGGGAAAAGATTCGTTCGTTTTCGTTCAAGATTCGTTCAACAAAGAGTAATAAGTCCTGTAACAAATGTGTAGTTCATTGTTAGTTCATGTTAATACATTAACTCAGTGTTTCCCAACCCTGTTCCTGGCGGCACACCAACACTGCGTGTTTTCTTGGTCTCCCTAATCAAACACACCCATCAGCTCATTAACCCACCTGATTATTAGCTGATGGGTTGAATCAGGTGTGTTTGATAAGGGAGACAAAGAATACACGCAGTGTTGGTGTGCCGCCAGGAACAGGGTTGGGAAACACTGCATTAACTAATGTTAAAAAAATGAAACCGTATTGTAAAAAGTATTACCACTTTTGTTACCTATACCACAAATGTTTTATGAAGTTGGTTGACCGTGCAAAAGTTTACAAAGTAGGCAATAATGGCTTCTGGAAGTTTGTTTCCTGTCCTTGCACAAACAGGCCACCACACATTTTTCTGTAAAAATAAATACATTAATATGGCCAATTGAAAAAATACAAAATCTCACATACAGACATCTCTCTGTAGTTCAGCTTTAGTGCTAACCTTGGTTGTTTTCTGAAAGTGTATGGCATCTCTGAGATGTCTTCTGTAAAGATGGTTCTTATTCGCAAGTTGAATAACTATCAGCGCCAGACTGGCATCATTTCCTTCAGACCGCCAATGAAACCAACGCGACCATATACTGTAAAAAAAGATGGATCCCGCTCTCTTCGCAGTATATCGGGATACATCTGTTAGATTTTACTATATTTGGCCGAGCAGTGGTTTGGGTGGCTCGCCAATGTATGAGATTTCTGCAATACATAAAATAAGTAGGTTTGACCAGAGTTCATGTGGGGAGAAGAAGGTCTGTAGTGTAGCAGTCCTTCAGCAGTGATGTTCGCATGTCGCCATTCAACAATCTTAACCCAAGAAACCTGTTAGGACCTCCCACAGGAGATCGATCTAACTTGCTAATCCACTCTGAGCAATGTTGATTATTTTTATTCATTCACACCAATCAGTTTCTATGGGCTATTCATCTGTATGGGAGTGGATTACATATGATACACAGTCACAATGTAAATGAATCTGATGACTGAAAATTGGTAGATGGCCTGACCTCTGATTTAGGACTGACGTGTAAAAAAAAACAAAAAAAAAACATTTTTTTGACAAGCAAGATCCAATCAGGTGCTAGTTGGAAAAAAAATCCACGCCCACTGTTTTGCCTTATTTAGTATTTTGTTTCTCGGGAAATATGTCACAACACTGGAGAAAATTTGTTAGCAACTTCCGATTCACGAGACTTTAAATTCTTCATCCATTAACTTCTTCACCCACTAACCCGAAGTTAACCTGGTGAAAACAAGTGTTGAGGGTGAGAAAGGAGAAGTGGTTTAACCCCCAATGCAGTGCGGTATGAAACCGAAAAAAAAAGACAAAAAAAGCAGAAGTGAGTTAGGGCAATGTTCAAACCAATAACAGGAAACTTCTCAATTGACTTTAAGCCCAGCTGCACTACTTCCTGAACTTCACATGGTCAGGCACCCCCCTATATTAGTGACCTGATTCAGCGTTATACCCCTTTGCGTGCTCTGGGGTCACGCACTCGCTATCGTACTAGAGGTGACCGATCTTTTCAGGCGGTTGTGGAATGACCTCCCACCGTCTATGTGCTCCTCTGACTCTGTTGATGCCTTCAAATGCAGACTAAAGACTAAAGGCTTTCAATTAGCTACTTGTGGGTTGATATGATCATGTACTGACTATGCTTTTATTGTGTATTTTATGATATTAATGTTTGTGTTGTGAAGCACTTTATGGCCCTATACCTGTGAATGGTACTATATAAATAAACTTTTACTTACTTATTGATTGAATGGCCGCCGTAAATTTAAAATGGTAATATCTCGACTTCTAAATTAACTGGAATGTTGATTTTTTTACTGCTAAACCCACTCTGTAAGGGTCAAGGGATCCAATGGTGCTAGTTAAAAAGCTACAAGATGTTACCACATTAACCCTTAGATGCATAAGTAGGTAAAAAATTACTCTGAGTGGTTGTTTTCTTGCAATATCTTTATAATGAAAAGGTATCATTTCATATTCCAGTTAAATAAGGATTTTTTTATATCACTCATTAAAACATTTAATATTTATTGTGGGAATGATTACAAAGACATGCATTGCAAACTTACTAGAATGCATGATGAGAGTGACCCACACTCAAAGTAGCAAAGTTCCTGTAGCTAAATATGTCACAACACTTGAGAAACTTTGTTCGCAACTTTCGGTTCACAGGAATGGGTTTTCACCAGATTAACTCTGTGCTCTAAATGCACTGTTCAGAGGGAAGTGGTTTAACGCGCAATGCTTTGAGGTATGAAACCGAGATAAAAAGAGATGAGTGGAAGGGAAAAAAATGAGTTAGGGCGATGTTCACGCCACTAACAGAAACTTTTCCATCGTCTGTCAAACTCAGTTATGAGTGACTTTATTACTGAGGTCCCGGATGTGAGGTTGGCTAGTTAGGGGGTACAAGAAAAGCACAATATAAATAAAATGTAATGTATTATTATTAATATTATTATTATTACCAGACATCCCAGCAAAAGACAATACATGTGTACTGTAAACAGGTTTGGATTTAAACTGTTTTAAAACGGGGGGATTTATTCCAAACCGAAAGGTAAATCAACAGGACTTAATGATTTAGATAAAAGAAATTCAAGAAATGTTGGGAGGACTTTATACACCAACCAGCCAATTTAAAAGAAAACAGTGATATCTATAGTGGCAATAAAAAGCTGATAAATCAGTTCGAATTACAGAAGACTTAGCAGATAAGTTGATGATTCATATCTCTTAGGAAATGAACAAGTTTCATAACCCTAAATGGGGACAGAAATAGGCATAAATGTTAGAGATAGAATTTCACCATAGACAGTGAGTATATGCAACAATAATAGATGATGGGGTTAATCGAATGTCAAATATGGAGGTGGACTGCACTATTTTTGCAGAGGACAGGATATCCCCTTTTAATATTTTTATAGTTCATCTAATGCCTAGAGTCACCAAACAATTGCTGGAAACAAGCTGGATCTCTCACTGAAGCGAAAATAAAAATCACAAGCAGGGTGACAGAGAGCAAACAACAAATGTTCACAGCAACCGAATATAGAAACACGCAGCAAATACTCATACATTTAGAAACATTTGAAACAAAACAAAACACTTTTATGATTTATTGTCACACAAAATCTGTTGCTCTATCAATGTTCAATAAAAAAAAAAAAATCTGCAGTCATACCGTCACAGCCCAAATCATCACCCAATCGTTATCAGTCGTTCGCCATTGCGACCGTAAAAAAAATGTTTCATTTCTAAGGCTATAAAAATGTTACTGAATAATCTATCAATGCATTTCCAGCAGATATTGAATGAAATATGTGCAGTGTAAATAGTCACATGACCAGAGCTGTTTATTTCATGTTTGTGCCAAGAAAAGAGGATGGCAGCAAGAAAGCTCCCAAAGCTTTCCTCACGCTCACGCTCACAGAAAACCTCACGCTCTTTCAGCACGAGATGCTGAAATGGATGCAAATAAGATTCTGAATGGAAAGTTTACTTTAAAAAGTTGCCAAATGGCTCCACTGACAAGACTAAAGCGTTCTGTGTTTTGCCGTTGTGAACTGAGCTATCATCATCGCAGCACGTCCAGTCAAATACCGCTTGATGATGGCCAAGCACACACACACACACACACACACACACAGCTGATGTGAATTCTCCGCCCCCTCGTCAATATCAGGACCTCGTCAGTATTTCTTTCACCCTTTTATTGATGGGTGTTACATTGTGTGAGAGATTATTTGCTCCAAGTGAGAATGTTAGTGTGAAATTGAACACAGTAAGCACACACAAAGCAAGCCGATCCACTTTTTCATGTTGATAAGAGCATTAAAATGAGAAAAAAAGAATGGGACAAGATACATTTAGAATAGAAACAAATGTGCGATTAATCGCGAGTTAACTATGACATTAAAGCGATTAATCGCGATTAAATATTTTAACAGCACTAATAAAAATAGAATATTTCGTTTTTCTGTAAATTAATCAAACAAACGACCAATGATGCAAGCACTGGAGGAACGCAGAAGGCTGTCATTCACTGTACTGGTTTAATAGAAAGCCAGTTAATATTTAAAAAGATTTGTAATACAAAGTATTTTTCTAAAATTAAGTTTTAATAGTATTTTCGTACCGTGACAGGAACATGTGTGACATAGCCATGCATACTTACTGGATAGTCGTTTAAAGGGATACTCCACTTTTTTTGGAAAGTTGTTTTACCGTTAAATTTGTTTTACCGTTACCGTTGTTTACCGTTTAAGTTTAAAGGTTTTATCGTTTTCGAATCCATTCAGCCGATTTTCTGATATTTAGAAGTATATCAGTAACCAGACAGTTTCTGGTCCCATTGACTTCCATAGTAGAAAAAAATAATACTACGGAAGTCAATGGGACCAGAAACTGTCTGGTTATTGATATTCTTCTAAATATCAGAAAATCGGCTGAATGGATTCGAAAACGATAAAACTCAACTGTTTAACTCTGGGGGAGTTGTAAAAACAGTCTATTTCCAAAAAAAGTGGAGTATCCCTTTAATCGCCGAGTACACTATAGCTACAAGTCTCAGAAGGCCTGAATTAAAAGGAAGGAAAGGACTCTGCCTTTTCCGATAGAGAAACATACATGTTTTGCTTTCGTTCAAAGGCATTTCCTCAGATAAGCATGCCACACAGTATAAAATACAGCCAGTCTTAAAGGAGACCTATTATGCTCATTTCTACAAGATGTAGGCTAAAATGTGTAATAGAAATTTTCTTTTAAATGTATCTCTTGAAACGTTTATTTTTTTTTTGTGTTCTTTAAAACAAAATGGGCCTTAAAGATAAGAAGGGGAGGGGTACATTTTGGAGGAGGATCTTTCAGTTTTGCTCTTTCTCATATCAGACTCTGCCTTTCTTGCAAGAAATAAATGCGTATACTTATGACTTTCGACTCGAGATCTTCATTTGTTCTTTAATTGTTAAGATCTAGGCAAAGAATTTCCACGACATGTCTCAGGTAGCTATGGGGTAATTTTATTTTACGATTACGATATAGTTATTTTTGCTTTAAATAAGGTTTTCATAATACCAACAGTTTTGGTACAATTGAAATATCATAAATCTTAGTATTTGTAATTAATGATAACTGTTAAACTATAAAAATGGGTATCAGCTGTAAATTACAGACAGGGCAGTAGAGCTGTATAGGCATCTCTCTCTCTCTCTCTCTCTCTCTCTCTCTCACTCACTCAGCATCTTCTACTTTCAGTTTATATAGTGACATAAATGTTTAATAGTATTAAAGTGTAAAGTAAATTGTAAATTTAAAAAAAAAAATAGACAAGAAACTTTTGCGTTCACTCGAGAAACCCAAAAGATATTGAGTGCAAATTGTTACATTTTAAATGGATTCATTGAGTCGAAGTTTGTTTTTGCAGTGTGGCAATAGGGTTATGTTGCTTAACACCATGAGTAAGTTCTGTACTTATGTCAGCTGAGCAGTGACAGAGAATGTCATACTTTTTCATGTTCAGGTTTTTTGGCAGTTGAATATGCTCAAAAACAAAAAGTCACTCATGAGACGGGATGGTTGCCGCCCCATCCCTTAAACGCCCTGATAAAGTCTCCGCAGATTCACGGGCTGCAGCACAAGTCTCTCTGAACTGCAGAAGCCGTTGCCTTCAATAAAGGTAATGTTCCACCATTTATAACTGTGCATATAAAAAAACTGTGAAATTATTAAAAAATCTTTTATTTAGTATACTATTTGAAAACTTTAGGCAAGAAATAACCAGCAAGACCTTTGTTTTATTCATGCACTGGTCCATTTTGACATTTTGCTTCGGTAACCTTTCCTCTTTTAGACTACTGGAAAAAAAATCATCTAAAATATACTTTATTGTATAACACTTTATGATTTGAATTTATAGATTTCAATTTCAGTACTTATTTTTAACAGTATTTTCTTGATAAATAAATGAGTGATAAAAACAGATATTTAAAATTACCTCTGCAAAAACACTCATGTCAACAAAATCAAACAACAGCTTTATCCAATGCAGAGAAATACAGAGCTTTGTTATAGACCATTTTGCAAGATGTAAACAACACCGGTCCAGAAACACTTCCTGTTTCAGCTTGTAAATGTTTTCTTTATTTCACATGTAAAGAAAAAATCTTAAAGATGTTTGTTTAACTTTTTGATTCAGTTTTATATGTTCTGTTGGTTGTATTTTATCCCAGCTTTTATCTAGTGTTAAAAAACTGAAACAGGAAGTGCTTCTGGACCAGTTTTGTTTAAATCTTGCAAAATGGTCTATACAGTAATGCATTGACCAGAGAATGGTCACTTTCACACGCCCTCACACACACACATCCTTTTTCTCAAACAGAGAAAAATAGCGAGGCATAGATAGAGGACACTGACCGACAGACAAGACCGAGAAGGTTAATTTAATATGGAACAAATTCTCAGATCTCAGATTCTGCCAATTTTATTACGAAATTCAAACAATACATGCTTTTAAATGTGACAGATTGCCTTAGTTCAAACGGTTCAAACAGTTCATCTCTCTTTACTAGTAAATAAACACGAATAAGGTTAAAAAGAGGTCAATAGTTAGACTACAGTCTCAATACCTCAGGAAAGACATTTGACTGTTTGGGAATAAAACCTAAAGAATTCAATTAAAATTGTAAAATTTGTATCAAGCAATAATAAAAGCAGAAGCCTAGACAACCAATTATTGCACCATGCTGTCACTAAACTTGATAAAAAATTATGTGTAGGCCTGATAAATGATTGTGATGCAAGTTTTTAAAACTGTATCCTAAAGTAAAAGTAGGCTACTAAATAAAATATTTAGCCTACTCAAGTAAAAGTTATCATAAACAATATTAATTATTAGACAATCTCAAAATAAAGAAAACCTGCCGAGAGTTGCGTTCAAAACAGGCATGCACTGACACCCGAGGGAGAAAACGGTTCACACGTGCTCGCCTCGAGCTCATGACTTACAAAGTGATCGCATTCGTTCTCAAAAATTTAATCAAATGTGCATTTGTGGAGTCGCGTAATTAAGTTATGTCTGTTTGTATATTGCCAGTAAGAAATGAAACCGCATGTAGATGTCCTACCTGTGGAATCGTTCACATGAATGACGCAGATGTCCAACTAATAAAGAGATCAACAGGCAAACAATACGATGCACATTTGCTTTCAACTGACTGTACAGTACTGCACTTCATTTAATGCTTTAATTCCCGTTTAAGACGATTCAGTGCGAGCAGGGAACTGATAATTCAAACTGATTCGCGAACCAATTTACACAGTTTTGCAAAATTGTTTGATCAAGGCCCTGTCCCAATATCCGCACTTGCGCCCTTGTGCCCCTCAATGCGCGTTCTCGCTAAGGGGTGCAAGACCGTAGGGTGTCCCAATCCTCTAATAGTGTTCTCCAGGGGTGATCAAAAGGGCACTTAATGCACCCTTTTCGTAAGTGCGCATCAGACCTCACTTTGCTGTGGGATATTACCCAGAATCCTTGTAGGGGAGAACGGTTGCTATGGTGCTGTTCGGGAGCGGAAACTCCGAAGATAAAGGATGCCGGTGTGGTGAAGAATTTTTCAAAAATATTTGTGTTATTGGGTCACGAAATGTAGTTTTAAGAGTTTTTCAGTCGAGAATATAGTTGTTTAAAGCTCAAATCTGTGGTTTATTTATAAAAATAGCGCCTATTTTAAAAAATTGATCTGACGTTCGGAGTTCCAGGTAGTCACAGGGCGGCGGGTGCTCAGCGCTCATGTACCCCGCCTGCAACAGCCTTGCCCCGGCTAGTCATTCTTGCGTTTCCCGCGGGCTCTGTCTAGTCGTTAAACATGAGCTATAAATCGGCTTGTGTACATCAGACGGGCGATCTTTGGTCTCATTATTCTATGATTTGTTCCCTGGAAAATCGTTTTGGCTGAGGAGAAAAGTGAAGTTTCTATATATTTAGGCTATTTAACTGTAACGTTGGCTATTCTTGGTCAATAAAATAAAAAGAGACAAGGTTGTGTCATTTTATTTTATACAGCCTATATGTTAGACTATTTTAATCTATAGCCTATACAAAATATATCACCAACACGTCATGTTTTTTTTGTTTTTTTTTTCATTTTTTTTTTTGTTTTCATGTATGGGAATTTCATATATCAATTTCCATAATAACAATTAACATTGCATTTCGAATCTCTGTGAATATGGTAAGGCAGTATAAACTCAGGTAAACCTCAATCACATTTTATCTTAGCCAAAAACTGTTTTAATATTAATAGCATTAACAGAAAGGTTGCTGGCTAAGAGTTAAAAAAAAAAAAAAAGTAGCTTTTTGAGGTGTGCAAAACTGTCCCAATTCTGCTCTTCACAGCTTCGGGTCCTTGCGCTCTTTCTCCGCTAAGTGCACTTTCAACAAGTGTCCACTTCGAGGAAGGCCTTAGGGCTCAAGTGAGTATTGGGACAGGGCCCAAGTCTTTGAACAGAATCGACTCTAAAGAGTGATTCATTTGTTAAAGGCGCGCGCTCCAAAAGAGACAGCGCGCGCTTGGAATTAACAACGCAACATGTTTCTTAACATGTAGCCTATTGCATTTAAATGAAATAACGAGAGGCTACTAGAGTTAAAGTAAAAGTACACACATTTAAATATACTGTTAAAATGACTTGTGTCGTTATTACCCACATCTGCTGCAAGATCGAAACGCTATCATCCAACCTGGAATCTCACCCGAGGACTTTTTACTTATTTAATTTCCCCTAAAGACAACACTGATACGCTAACTGGAAATGAGCAAGAGGCGTAGATATAAAAATACATATGTTATTAAAAATAAAATAAAAAAAATATGCAAGACAACACCTAGAAACTGTGTTAATCGTGTTACAATGAGCTTGTGCTCAAACTTAAATGTAGGAACGAACATCATCACAAAATCCTCTTCTCTTGTTCTACCCATAAGGGGTTCAACCTACCCACAGATAAAATGCTATCTAACCCCCTTGCACATCCCCAGATCATATAGCTTCCTCTGCTGGCCCCATTAAGTATTACAGTTGATTCATTGCGTATAATTTTTTTACAATGATATCAACACATCCCCCTTTCTTTGAGATGGTTGAAATAGCCAAAAACAACCGGGCATGTGCTTGCACTCAAAACAAGAGACAAGTACTACATGACATAACCTCCTCCATATGGAGCAGATGACGCTCCACACATGGGACATAACAGACTGTAAACTAGACATAAACCAACGAAACATAACCATCAACAGTGGAAAACAAGAAAACATAATAGTAGGATCAAGATGACACAATAAAAATAACAACTGATAAAACAACTGACATGGAAACGAGGTAAAGACAAGACAATACAAACACATGGCCAAAAAATACTCTCTCTCTCTCTCTCTCTCTCTCTCTCTCTCTCTCTCTCTCTCTCTCTATATATATATATATATATATATATATATATATATAAAACTGCACAAGTTATAACAAAAAAGATTCATAATTTCAGAATAGCCTACTTAAAACTGTAGAGAATAAATTACAGGCAAAACGTTTGTTTTATTCATGCACAGGTCAATTTTGAGTTTTTGCTTTTGTAAGCTCTCTTTTAGATGATTGGAAAAAAAATCACCTAAAATACAATTTCAAGTGTTATTTTTATCAAACTTTATGTATTTGCATCTGCAGATTTCAATTTGAAAACTGCTAGATTTAAGTCAGAAATCTGGTCGACATAATTGGTAAAAAAAAATAAAATAAATTCTGGCTGTTGACAGTATTTTCTTATTTATGGAGTGATAAAATGAGATATATTTTAAAATCACCTCTGTAAAAGTATCTAGGCCTAATGTCAACAAAAATCAAAAGAATTTTGAACCCCTTTATTCAATGCTCATAACTTCTGCAAATTATTTTGCTTAAAATTTGGTTGTATTCTAATTTTAATACATTATAATTAATACATTATAATAATGATTATTTTCTAATGTGGCAGAGCAGAGGCTCGCGCTCGTGACCGCTACGACATCTGATCTTAAACCACGATCAACTGCACATGTTCGCATCTGATCTACAAAATGTAGCCTATATTTCTACAGGTGGGTTTAAACTGCTGTTTGGCGGGTGTTTATTTTATACTCAGTAAACAACGGTTGCTTATCTTAGGTATAGGCCTATTTGTCCAAAAACTGGTTATGTCAGCCTACTTTGCATCGTGTAGCATAATTTTGCGTAATGATTTGTTTGGAAAATGTGTCTGTATGAAATGAAATCGCGTTTCCAAGCGCGCTGTCTCGTTTGGAGCGATGCCTCATTCACAAATGAATCGCTCTTTTTGAATAGGTGGAAATTTTATCAACAAACAATACATTATGATCAACAATCTTCTGATGAGCTTGAAAGAACTTGTAATAATTCTTATATATAAGACCTTAAAAAAAAATCTCACTCAAAAAAATGATGTGTTGGCTTTACTTAACTTTTCATGTAAACAGGTTCCACCGGTTCCACATAACTTTGTTTTGTTAAACAAACATAATTTGTTCATGTAACTTCAACATCATGGAAGTCATTTTAAGCCATCCAATCAAACTCTGAGCTGAGTGTTAAAGTTAATGAGACAATTAAGTGAATAACTGAGTGATGATTGAGCATTATTGAAGACACCTGATGATCACAAGCAGAATCACTGAAGGAGAAAATCACAAATTGTAAGTCACCGTTATGGAGATCAGTGTTTGCTTTAGTTGGGCTCTTCACCCTTATATTATTAACTTTATATTTTAATTTACTATTGCATCTGAGTAATACCTGCCAGATGAACAAAGATAAACAATTATAAAATGATGTTGGACATATAATGACATTCATCTTTTGAAATTTATGTCTGTAATTTATTCTGTTGGTTAGTGTATAACTGAAATTCTGCATAAATATCCAGAATGTTCTCAAAAGTTTTTTTTTTTTTCTTACAAAAAATGCTTCTGTAAGGCACACACAGACCTCAAGATTCAGTCAATGCTTCTCAACAATGGTGACAAGCAGAATATTCAATTAGGAAAAGTAAATTACATAGATATTTCAGATCATAATTTATTCAAACCGCAATGCATGATGGGAGACATTAATGAGTTGTGATTGGTGGCAAGAAGGACTATTAATGTCACCACGATTGAGATAGAGAGGCTGATTATTGATATCTGTTTCTACATAAAGATTAAGTGATTAAGTTATTAAGATTAAGTTATAAGAAAAAACAGATATGTTGTATAATCACTAAACTGTTGCTAACAAGTTAATCCTAACCATCAGAATTACGAATTTTCAGTTCACAGCATGATTATGTTAAAACATAACCAACACTATCGGATCACAGTTTTCTTTGTTCATTTGACTGTTATAAATCAATAACAGCAGCCAAACAAAGTTTAAAGTAAAAGTATAAGTGTCAAGAGCCCAACTAAAGCAGACACTGATCTCCATAACGGTGGCTTACAATTTGTGATTTTCTCCTTCAGTGATTCTGCTTGTGATCATCAGGTGTCTTCAATAATGCTCAATCCTCACTCAGTTATTCACTTAATTGTCTCATTAACTTTAACACTCAGCTCAGAGTTTGATTGGATGGCTTAAAATGACTTCCATGATGTTGAAGTTACATGAACAAATTATGTTTGTTTAACAAAACAAAGTTATGTGGAACCGGTGGAACCTGTTTACATGAAAAAGTTAAGTAAAGCCAACACATCATTTTTTTGAGTGTAATGAACTGACAATCCGCTCATCTCTAGCTGGAGCACAATGATTGCACCTGCAGCCAGAGGTTGTCCAGGCACTGAAAGAGGGAATTAACTTCAAGAAAAACCCACAGGATGACAAATGTTACATCATTTGCAAAGTCAAAGACAAACCACGATCATTTAGAAACCAGTGCAAACACCAGGGTGAACAAAAGGACATGGATGGTGAGTGAACCTAAACTCATTCAAACAAAAATAATAATAATAATAACACATAAAAAGAAATTTGCTGGGGAAAAGCAGGTGCGAGGACGTTTTTTTTCGTTACTGGAAATGACATTTTCTTTCGCCTATAGGCTACACATTGTGTAATAGCCTAACTACGTAATTGTTTAATTGTGCAATAATTGGTTATGAAAGAATCATGTGAAAGATCAGTGTTGGGTAAGTTCAATTTCTACATGAAATAGTTCAAAGTTCAGTTCACAAAATTTTAAATTAACTTGTTCAGTTCATATCACAATTTTAAACTATAAGTTATTTCCAAAAAAATTAACTAGTTCATAGTTCTATTGTCACAGCCCACATACAATCACAGACAGCATTAATTTTAAATTATCGGAGGGCAAAGTTTGCACAGAAATGTAAGATTTTGGTAACACTTTACAATAAGGTTCATTAGTTAACATTAGTAAATGCATTAACTAACATGAACTAACGATGAGCAATGCATTAGTTACGGTGTTTATTAATCTTTGTTAATGTTAGTTAATACAAATACAGCTGTTCATTGTTTGTTCATGTTAGTTCACAGTCCATTAACTAATGTTAACTAATACAACCTTTGATTTTAATGACGTATTAGTAAATGTTGGAATTAAGATTAACTAAGATTAATAAATGCTGAAGAAGTATTGTTCATTCTTAGTACATGTTAACTAATGTAGTTAACTAATGTTAACTAATGAACCTTATTGTAAAGTGTTACCAAGATTTTTCCCATCCTCACCGACCTTGACTTAAATCTGACAGGAATGGTGCAACACGCGGACTCTGGGTCGAATCATTCCGGTTGCCATTTTACAACATTGGACGTTTTCAAAACAATTTCCCCCAAGTGCATCAACCGGTGAGTTGAAACACATTATGATATGCAAAACTGTTATCCAGCAGTGGGTGTTATGGACCTTTGTGTCTTGAATAAAATTTGATTGATTGAAACAGGAGAGTCATCTCAAAACATCAAGATAATGCATTCTTTCTCTCAAGGATAGCTAAACTTTAGTATAACTGGAAAATAAGGCCTCAACAAAGAAATAATCCCTTAAACTATTGGCTTCAACGATGTTTTAAAGCGTTCTCAAACCCAAAACAAGTCCCTGTTTCATTTCTGGAAGCTGGGCTAAATGATCAAGCACTATTACTGCATTCAGATATCAAATACAAGATATTAAAAAGTAGCCTGCATGAAAAGAACATTTCAGTAATCACACTGGTAACTTCTATAACAAAGTAAAATCTCACAAGCGAAGTCATTCCACTCATTTAACATTTAGAAGGAAAACTTGTGATTAATACCTTGATTATAATTACTCATCAGAGCCGGACAGTATCGGAGTACTAAAGTACAGCACTTAAGTACAATTTTGAGGGATCTGTACTTTACTCGAGTATAATTTTTTATTCAGTATTCATGGCTCAAGTTGCCTACATTTGAGAGGGAAATATTGTACTCTTTACTCCACTGCATTTCTATCCATAACTGTGAGTACCCGTTACTTCTAAAAAAAATTAAAGAAATGGAAAAAAGAAAAATCTCTGAAACCCTCAATGTGATCAAATGTGACAGCCTATCAGCAATCACCTTCAGCTTTCCGCCAAAGTCAACTCCATCGTCAGATTTAGATAAGAGACGAAACCATGGACGAAATAATAGATGGAGAATGTGGCCACATCTCGCCAGACTATTTCAATTTTCTGAATTTTCTGAAATGTTCTTAAATGTTAAATAAAGCAACAATTCCTTTTAAATTCTCCAAGGTATTAACATTAACATTTTGCAATATTGCAATGCAATATTCAGAAAATGTAGGCTACTCTTGATACTCAAGTGCTTTTAAAAACAAGTACTTCAAGTAGACATCTGACTGTAGTACTTTTACTTGTACTTGAGTAAAATTTAGCAAAGGGTATCTGTACTTTTCCTCAAGTAATAAATCTGTATACACTCTTCCGCATCTTCTCATCATTACATTGAAGCATCAGTGGATTCCAATCCACCCCCTTTATAACGAAGTATTTTTACTTCATTACCTACCAACACTGGTATTTCTCTAGAAGCTATTTGAACAATATCTGTCCTCCTGAGGGTTTTGGTATGATGACAGCCGGATCCGCCCTGGTCGCCCGAGGGGTCGTCTCCGCCCTTGGAATAAATGTCACCTGCGCATATATTATAGCATATATTTTTAGTATTTAGTTACATATATAATAGATGTAGCCAAAGGGAGAATAGCCTAGTGTTGATGCTTTTCCTTGGATATGAGCGAGAGTGAGCCTGCAGTGTGTTCGTGCATAGCGTGGGAATCAGGACAACAAATTTGGAAATCCACTGTCAAAAGAGTTTGTTTGCAAGCAGCGGAAAACCACCTCATAGTTGGCCTACACACACGCACAGTAAACCTGCGCATAATAGGCTAGCACCGAATTAATAAAGAACACAATATATTGACTCGTGTTGTTTTTTATCATGTGCCGTGCCTGTTAGTATGGAAGCTTTCCGCCACAAAATGAAAAACAAGAAAGGTAATTGCGACTTTTTATCTCACAATTCTGACTTTTTTTCTCACAATTGCGAGTTTACATCTCGCAATTTTGACTTTATTTCTTAGAATCGCGAGATATGAGGTCAGAATTGAGATATAACGTTAGAATTGAATGATATAAAGTCAGAATTGCGAGATATAACGTTAGAATTGCGAGATAAAAAAGTCGCAATTGTGTGTTATAAAGTCAGAATTGACTTTATGCACAGCTGCACTACTTCCTGAACTTCAGCCAGCTTCTTGTTTCCTGTCTGCCACTATTGGCCAAATTGATTAATTCAGGTGTGACTGACCTCAGTAGTCATGGCAACAATAATCAGTCACACCTGAATTAATCAAGTTTGACCAATAATGGCAGACAGGAAACAAGGAGCTGGCTTAAGTTCAGGAAGTAGTACAGCTGTGCATAAAGTCAATTGCGAGATATAAAGAAAGAATAGTGAGATAAAGTCGTAATTGCGTGTTATAAAGTCAAAAATGCATGATATAAAGACAGAATTGTGAGATAAACTATTCTGGGGGGGAAAAAATCATCTTTTTCCCCCTTAGAATTGGCCTGATAACTTGCAATTGCGAGTATATATATATCACAACTCTGAGATAAGATGTCAGAATTTCGAGATATAAACTCACAATTATGTTTTATAAAGTCAGAATTGCGAGATGTAAACTCGCAATTGTGAGGAAAAAAAGTCAGAATTGTGAGATAAAAAGTCGCAATTCTGTCTTTTTTCTCAGAATTGCGACTTTATATCACGCAATTCTGACTTAATAACACACAATTGTGAGATAAAAAGTCGCAATTATTATTATTATTTATTCAATGGCCCAGTGTTAAAGCAGCCAATATTGCAGAGTTTAACTCCAACCTGATTTAAAGGATTAGTTCACTTTTGAAAAAACTTTTGCTGATAATTTACTCACCCCCATGTCATCCAAGATGTCCATGTCTTTCTTTGCTCAGTCAAAAAGAAATTAAGGTTTTTGATGAAAACATTACAGGATTTTTCTCCATATAATGGACTTCAATGGGGTCCAAACGGTTCAAGGTCCAAAAGACAGTTATAACAGTTACAGATGCAGCTTCAAATGTCTTTAAACGACACCAGACGATGAATAAGGGTCTCATCATGCGAAACGATCGGTTATTTCAAAACTTATTCCAAAAATATAACTTTTCTAAGGACAAATGCTAGCCTTGCTCTATTCTGTGAGGCGCGTTTGTAACGTCACGTAATACGTAGTTACGTTCAAAAGGTCACGTGGTTCAGTTTAATTTGGGTTGAATCTAAACTCCGCAGGATGCTACTCCCCAGGATTAGACACCCCTGCCTTTTTAATTCATTGGGGTTGTAAAAATACTTTAAATTATTCAAGGGATTAAAGGATTAAAGGATAAGTTGCCAAAGATGATACTTGTCATTTTCTCACCAACATCCCAGTCCAAACACATGCAAACATAGGCTGGTTATTCAAAACAATGAAAATGAACAAAGTTTGTGTAATGAACTGACCATATCAGTTTTGATGTTACAGCATACTACAACAAAATCAAACCTCATTAGTTCTTGTGTCATGACATTTGATCAAAAGACTTGCAAGAACCAATTAGGCTATTAGGATATCATGTAGTAGCCTAGCTAATACAATATAACATAATTGTAAACAAAGACTGACATTTTTATGTTTTCATCATACAAAGACATTGTATGATTTCAGAAGACCACATGCACATGCATAACAATTTCTTTCAGATCTAGTAAAAATTTCAGATCTAGTAAGAATAACATTATGGTAAGTCATTTAAAAAAAAAAAATGACAACAACGTGGCAGGACATGTTGACAGTTGACAGGACATGATTTTATTTGTCCACCTGACTAAAACTCTGAATCACTTTTCGCAGTGAGCTGTAGTGTTATGTTGCTTAACCCGATGAGTACGTTCAGTGCACACGTCAGCAGAGCAGAGACAGTAAATGTCATACTTGTCATTTCAGACTTTGTAATTTTCAGGTTTTTTGTTGTTGAATACTCAAAAACAAAAAGGCCCTCAGGAGACATGATGGTTACGGGGCGCACCCATCACGTCTCATGAGGGACTCTTTGTTTAAAAAAAGTATAAAAAATGCAGATGCAGAACATTCCTCTTGTCTGTTAACACTGAATTTGTTTTTGTTTTTCTTTATTATCTTACTTTTTTTTAATGTATGGATTTTAACTTTATATTACTTCCTATTACAGCAAGCATGCGCGCACAAGAATCTTGAGCAGAAAAACAATCACATGCACATCTAGCTCCAATATTTCTGGCCAATGGAGAGGCCAGGACGGTCACCGTGGATCTAATATATAATTCTGGGAATCCAAACAGCAGTTAGACAGGCAATAATGAAATTTTAAAAAATTCTTCAAGTTTTAAATTAAAAAGTCTTCTTAAAGTCCATGTAAAGTCAAAATGTATGTGTTCTGAGTTTGTCACACCACAGAAAAATGTGTTATTAGCCACCCAGGCAAATTTGAATAATAAAAAATCCACCAAGTAAATAAAACAAGCTATCAAAATCTTGAGAAAAAAAAAAGAGCAGTATACACTCTAAAAGTGCTGGGTTGTTTTAACCCAAATTTGGGTCAAATATGGACAAACCCAGCCATTGGGCTAATTATTGGGCTAATTAATTATTATTTAATTACATTTTTAACCCAATGTATGAGTTTGTCCAAATTTGACCCACAATTGGGTTAAAACAACCCATCATTGTTTTAGTGCATACTGCTCTCAAACGCCTAGGGGCGTGTCCACCGGCTGCGCTGAAACCACGCCCACTCGGGAAAGCTTTTAGCACTCACCTGTTTTATAGCACTTTGGGATTTACTTAAATATAAAGTGCATTACAAATTAAATGTATTAATGTTTTTTATTATTGTTACATTAATATATTAATGTAGCATATATGCTTATAGGCTTAATGTAGCATATAGACTTTCGCGTTTGTGTAAATCTATTTTTGATTTGACAACAATCAATCACACCGGAAAACACAGCCATACAGTATAGTTCAAAACAAAATAATAATTAATAATTTCTGAAAATTGACTCTCAGTCTTTATTAACATGTTTCTCATGTCTTCTCAATAGAATTCATAAAAGTATAGAATATAATAGCACATTTCTAATAGGGGCACATTAACGCAATGTGACAATATGCCCCAACTGCACAACTGAGGTTTAAACCCTGCTTGTGTCTTCTGCTAGTTAGCGAAGTAATAACTATCAACTGTTAAACAACAGATTGGAGATTAAAATAGTATCAGATTTGTCAAATTTTAAATAAACACAAAAAATAGAGATGATAAAGTACACTCTAAAAAATGCTGGGTTGTTTTAACCCAATTTTGGGTCAAATATGGACAAACCCAAAATGCTGGGTTAAAAATGTAATGTAAAAATTTAACCCAACGGCTGGGTTAGTCCATATTTGACCCAAAGTTGGGTTAAAACAACCCAGCATTTTTTAGAGTGTAACTTAGGCTACAGTAAGAAATGTTCTTTTGTAATGTTTTAATAAATCATATCTTACAAAGATATTGGAATTTTTGGTGCAATTTTTCTCTATATAGGCTATTGTTGAAATGGCAGCTAAATAGGCTACACAAGTTTCGTTATGTAAGCATGTGGAAAAACAGGTGTGTTACAACTAGCCCAGCTCGCCCCTATACCTTGCTTATCAAATTATCCTGTCACAGCAGTGACAAGGAATGTCATAATTGTCTTTTCAGACTTTCTGATAAGGGTTTTTTTTTTTTTTGACGTTAAGGTTTGATGTTTGTTTGTTTTTGCATAAACTCAAGAAGAAGAAAATGCCCCGGTTACGCCCCGTTTGACATTTCAAGTCTCTCTGAACTGATAAAAGCCGCTGCCTAAACTCACATTTACAGCAGAATTCAAGACACAGCAAAGGTAATGTTCCATCATAACTGTGTAGCCTATATACAAAAAAAAACTGTTCAAATTATAGCCCTAAAAGATTTTGAATAATTTCAGATAGCCACAACTTTAGGCAAGACATTACGCAAAACGTTTGTTTAATTCATGCACAGGTCAATTTTGAGTTTTTGCTTTTGTAACCTTTCTTCTTTTAGACTATAGTGGAAAGAAATCACCTAAAATACAATTTCAAGTGTTATTTTTTATCAAACTTTATGTATTTGCATCTGTAGATTTCAATTTGAAAACTGCTAGATTTAAATCTGAAAACGTTCGCGGAAGGGTTTTACAAAGGGATTTGTATATTATTTGCCGCATACATATATTTAGGTTTATTCCTTAAAATATGGTAAAAAATATTGTTGGTAAAACATTTTTTCCTGGATGTTGACAGTATTTTCTTATGCAGCGATAAAATAGATATTTAAAATCACCTCTGTAAAAGTGGCTATCAAATGTCAACAAAATCAAACAAGAATTTTAAACCCATGCAGTTTTTCCAATGCTCATAATTTCTGCAAATTATTTTGCTTAAAATCTGTGTTCTAATTTTGATACATTATATGACATCTGAACTCAAACCACGATCATGTTCGCATCTGTTCTACAAAAAAAGTGTGTTTCTACAGGCGCTTGTTTAAACTGCTGTTTGGCGGGTGTTTATTTTATACTCAGTGAACAACTGTTGCTTAGTAGGCTATGTATGTCCAAAAACTGGTTATGTCATAGCCTAGCGTGTAGCCTACTCTATGTTTGGAAAATGTATAGACCATTGCCTGTAGGCTATGAAATGAAATCGCGTTTCCAAGCGCGCTGTCTATCAACAAACAATACATCAAAAATCTTCTGCTGAGCTTGAAACTGAATCTAACTTGTATACTTTTTATAAGACCTTTTTATAAAAAGACCTGCCATTGAACTGACGATCCGCTCATCTCTAGCAGGAGCACAATGACATCCCAGGTCTCAAAAACAGTCCTGCGCCTGCAGCCTGAGGATGTCCAGGCACTGAAAGAGGGAATTAACTTCAAGAAAAACCCACAGGATGGCAAATGTTACATCATTTACAAAGTCAAAGACAAACTACGAGCGTGTAGAAACCAGTGCAAACACCAGGGTGGACTCTTCATTAAAGACATAGAGGACATGGATGGCAGGTGAGTGAACCTAAACTCATTTAAACAAAATTAATAATAATAATAAGAAGAAGAAGAAGAGGAACACATAAAAAAAATTTCCTGGAAAAAAAACAGGTGCGATGACGTTTCTTTCGTTAAAAAGAAACTGGAACTGACATTCATTTTCTTTCGCCTAGCCTAACTAAGCTAATACCTAAATAATTGTATAATTGTGCAATAATTGTTTATGAAAGAATCATTTGACACTTTGATAAAGTTCACTTTCTATATAAACTATTTCAATGTTCAGTTATGTTCAATGTTCAATTTTAAAATGGACTAGCTTAGTTCATAGAATACATCACAATTTTGAATTAAGTTCACAGTTCCAAAAATGAACTAGTTTAGTTCTTTTTTCCATATGTTGCTGCGAGCTATTATTTTTTCTTTTTTAATTATTGGCACAGCCCAATCACAGACAGCAATTATTTTATCGGTGGGAAATTTTTGCAAAGAAATTTAAGATTTTTCCGGTCCGTGTAACGACCAAGAATTCAATTTTCAGACCATATATGCAAATGAAAAGAAAAAAAATGATAAACGGAAACCAGACATTCATTTTTCTTGTTTTTCCAGTTACATTATCTATGGATAGTTGCCCTTTTTCAGTTTTACTTTGTAACTTGAATTGTGACTTCAGAAACAAACATTAGAATAAATGAAATATAATTGAATTTCTAATTTTCGTCTTGTGGGCGGTATACGGGGGTGTGGCCGCGGACTAACTTAACTATCATTTCACTGATGCAACTGCTTTATTTACACTGCATGAACGTTGAGGAGAAGTTAAAAGACCAGACGACATTTTTCACCCGAAATGACAGTTTTAATTAATAGTAACTGAACTGAACAGTGCAGGTGAGGTTTAGTTCACTTCGGGTGAAAAATGTCGTCCTCCTGTGTGTTAACCCTTGCTGTAAAAAAAAAGGCCAAATTCTGACAATACCAAACCACCTGAAGGCACCGAGGTGGCGGTGCAGCCGGCTTTGGCCCTTTCATCGTCCTTTCAAACAGCTACTCCGTCCTTTTGTTCAAACAGGACATTATTCAAACTGGAATATACACTCGCAATATAACACAACATTTGTGCTTTTGTCAAGCTATAAACTGTCACGCAACCAAAATCTCTCTCTCTCTCTCTCTCTTTCACACACACACACACACGCGCGCGCACACACAGTTTAAAAGCAAAAAAAAAAAAAAAAAATCATCATGTCGCATTGGTTTTAATTTCTTGTCCTCGAACAGAGCCCTAATCTGTTTATTTTTCCGTTACACATTCTTTGATTAAAAAAAGAAAAATCAAATGTTTTTTTTAATTTTATACAGAAATAAATTATTTATAATTCAGCTGAGAATAAAGTTAATGTTAGTTCAAATAAAAAACAAAAACAAATATATGATCTGAAATATAGCACATTCATTTTAAAATATTTTAGGTCTAATTACCAAAAATACAATCTTGATTTAATTAAAAGCAAATAATACATTTAAAACGTGTGGGTTGTATGCATTGTTGTAGGGAAAAAAAAGATATATATCCAAAAAGACAAGGCCTTAAACTTTAACAAGGGTGCATCACTGGGGTGCATCATCTTATCACTGTAACAAACAGACACACACAGTTCTAGTTCTTCTAGTTCATTCTCTCCGTTTCTTTCTGTTACTGTTCAGTTTTGTTCAGGTGTGTAATTAGCCCTCTCTTGTGTTCTGTCTATAAACCCTGTGTTTCCTTCAATTCATGTTAAGTTGGTTGTTCTGTTCCTGTGATTCTGTTTTGTGAAGACTTGAGTTGCTTTCTAAATGAAGATTGCTGCATTTATCCTGTTTCATCCCTTCTGCAACCAACACTGACAGACAGTGCAGAAAGATTTACAGGAAGATATTATAGGATTCATTAGACTGTGCTTGTGTGTTTGTGTAACAGGACAGTGCGCTGCACTAAACACTACTGGAAACTTAACGTGGCCACCATGGAGTACGTCAACCCTCCAGATAGCTTCATGCAAGATGAACTCGGTAAAATCATTGTTATTTATGGAATCTTTCCATTCCACATGGAAAAGGTCTTTTAGATTTTTAAAAAGAAAATGTTCTTTTTAGAACTGTTCACCGATTGGTTCTTTAATGACATCGCTGTGAAAACCCCATTTTGGAACCTTTTATTTCTAAGAGTTTATAAACATTTGATGTCATTTTAAATCCTGTTAATAATTTTTAAGAACTTAAAACTGATGGGTGTATATGGACGTTCATACGTTTGTTCATAACTTGCCAGAACGTTAAGCCGCATTACTCAAAGTCAGAGTCAAACTGCTTTCATGTTAGCGGGAACTGCTATCATCTTATCAGTATTTGTCCGTGTGTGTGTGTGTAGAGGCAGTGCTGTCAGACACTGATGGTAGTTTAGAGCTGGTTGAGTTGAATCCTCCAGACCCCTGGACCGCAGAGCCGAGAGAAGCACAAGAGCTACACGCCGGAGAGATCACGGTAAATAAAAGTAGGGAGCTGGGTAAAGTTTAAGACAGCCTTTTTGAAGAAGTTTGCATTTTGCTTGAGGATATTTTGTACACTCCCAGTGACTGTTGCTTTCGGTAAATCTAAACTTCTAAAGAAATATTTAAAATGTCAACAATGCCCCAGGATAGACTGAACATTCTTGCCATACTCTCTGTAGAAAGTCAGTTGGCCAAAAAACTGGATTTTAAAGACCTGGGGCCAGTTTCAGAAAGACATAAATATTGGATGACTAACTTGTAAGACTAGTCTTAGCAGTTTATGCAACTCGCCCTTTATCAGCAAATTTGCGCATGCAAAGACCCGTCAATGGGCATTTAGAAAAAACTGACATTATTTAGTTTGTGTTTATTAATGTTTAGACTGAAGTTTTTCTCATTTGGTATGGTTATTGTTCAGATCTGCTTTACTGTATATTTGATTTAGTCCAGGATTGGACATACTAGAGCTTTTGTCATCTCAGTAAGTAGTACCTTTGACAACAAAACAAAATTTATATGAATCAGAGTGTGGCTTATTTTGTTTCAATTTTAAGTGTTTTTATGATAAAAATGCAATACCCCACCCATTGGTATCATGGTATTTGGTATGGGGGCCCAGCAAGATGGTTTGTAATTTTGGTGCTATAGGCTACGCCCCTGCTTGCAAAAAATAAAAGAACTCAATTCTAACGTGCTGACTGACAAGCAGCGTGAGTTTTGATTGAAGGGTCAAATACACATGCAATTATGTCAAAATGTTTATCATGGGAGTATTCATGTTAACACAGCCGGTTATGTCTGTAATGCAAGTAAATATTTGGGTGTAAACCAGGTGTGTATCAGTATAATGGATCCGTGCGTTTGGCCTTCAACCGTTTTTTCCAGACTGATCTCATGAAGTAGCGTGTGTATGCCACGCCAATTCGTATTTCCATTTTTGGCGTGCTATCAAGACGCATAATCGCCTTTCAGCGTGTTTATGAACGCCGTTGACTTAACGTTATATAAATATATGACTTACCTCAACCCCGTCCCTAAACCTAACAGTCACTGGGGTTAATGGCATTTATGACTGGAGATTTGACGTCGTGTACAGACACGCGGAATGACGCGGACGTTAATGGCGTAGACATACACGCAAACACGCGGATACACGCGGATAGCTCAAAATGCGTAGAGATAACACGCCACCTGACTCGAAAGTGGCGTGTATGTTTACGCAAAAGTCATGTTGGTTTTTTCATATTCCAACCAAGTGTTATTGGTGGTATATGATATTATCATCATTTTATATCAGTGGGGGAGAGGACTTTTCACGAGTGATGATATTACTGCGCCGAGTCCAAGTCGACTGTGGTATTCCGCCATACATTATCGTTATCCACTTTACACGCTTAGAAAAGCGTAACGTTTTATTTTGTGTCATTTTCACAAACATTGATAATTAATAATAATCAGAAATTTTTCTTGAGCAGCAAATCATGATATTAGAGTGATTTCTGCAGGATCATGTGACACTGAAAATTCAGCTTTGATCGAATAAATTACATTTTATAATATATTACAATAGAAAACAGCTATTTTAAATTGAAAGTGAAGTTCAATTTATCATGATTCTAACATGTTTTACCACATTGTTGGTATTCGATCCATAAATTCTCTCTGTGTGTGTGTTCGTTTCAGCTGACATACATCACGCACGCGTGTATGGAGCTGAAAGCGGGGAACAAGACGATGATGTTTGACCCGTGGCTCACTGGACCAGCGTTTGCGAGAGGCTGGTGGCTCCTTCATGAACCTCCATCTGATGCCATGGACAGACTCAGTCAGGCAGATCTCATTTACATCAGCCACATGCATTCAGATCACCTGAGGTACCAGTCTGCATAATTATATTCATTATATTAAATTATATCATACAAAAATATATATACATTTTGCATCTTTTTTTCTATCAGCTACCCAACTTTGCGACGTCTTTCCAAAAAGCGTCCAGATATTCCCATTTATGTCGGAGACACTTCACGGCCGGTGTTCTGGTGAGACTCAACTCTTCAGCTAATAATATTAATAATAATATTTTGTGTATGTAAAAATTGTAACGTGTAGGTCGGTTTAGTTTCATCGTGTAGTTCCCTGTGCTTAAAAGGGCACGTCTACACGACAACGATATGCTTAAAAGAGTTTCTCCTTTGAGTTTTCCGTGTACAGATCATACAGTAAAAGAAAGGTACAGACGATCCCCATCCACACAGATCAGCAAAATTGACTAAAAACACTCTATTCTGTTGTCATGCCATTAGATGCTGATGAAAAACTATAGACTGAACACGTAATACGCATGTGCTTCACATCACTGTCTTCAGAGAATGGAGACCATTTTTAAAAACCATTTTTAATGGAGACCGGTTTTCATAAGTTTGCGTTTTCAGGCACTAAAAACACTGTTGATGTGTAAATGAACGGCCAAATTACGCATAAAAATTTCACGTTTTTAGTTGAAAACGGTGTCGGCCCTCAGTTTCCATTGTTCCTAGTTTACGCACCAGTTCTGCTTTAATTAATGATTAATCATATAATATGTGCTTTATTATGACATGTATAATATTACATTATATTATATTTTACATGATATTCTACATCCTAATACCTAAACTTAACAACTACCAAACTATTAGTTAGCAGTGATTAATAGTGAGAATTGGACCCTAAACTAAAGCATGCCCTTAGTTTTTAATGAACCCGTTCAGGAAACCGTGAGAAATCCTGTGATCCGGAGACCATCTGACTTGCAGAAAAACGTTTGTTTGTGTTTTGTTGCAGGTATCTGGAGAAAAGCGGAGTGAAGTTAACAAACATCAACGTGGTCCCATTCGGTGTATGGCAGAATGTAAGTGATACGGTTTTTCCCTTTTGCTCTTTTTCACTTGTTCTACTTTTCTTGATCTCGGCTTTTGAATCATTTGACAGGTCGATGATCACCTGAGATTTATGATTCTGATGGACGGAGTTCATCCTGAGATGGACACCTGCTTGATTGTGGAGTATAAAGGTATTTTGCTACTCATTCAGACTGATTGTTCCTGGTTGTCCCCATAAAGCTGCTTTGAAACAATCATTATTGTATAAAGCACCAGAGGTGCGTACTTTCTGAACCTTTAGATCTCTGTAAAGCACTATATAAATAATACATTCTTCCTCTGTTTGATGAAGGACTAAGAGCTTATACTGTATGTTACTAATTATCTTAAGTATGAAAAATAAGATTGAAGACAAATTAACGATGAGATGAATGGAGCGAGGTCATCTTCTGCCTTTATCAGAAGTTCAATAAACACTTTCTTTCGTTCAAGGGTGTGAAAGTGTCGCCCTCCATAATTATGTAAAGAGTAAGATAATGTGGAAATTGTTTCATGTAAATAGAAATGATGAATCGTCTACAAACAGATTATCTTCAATGGATAGTTTTTCTACTCAATAAAGCGGCTAAAGCCCCTCAGAAATGCATAGCATTGCTAATAAATTGGATAAACTCTAAAAAAAATAAATAATAAAAACACACACCTTCCAAGGTCACATGATCCTGAATACGGTGGACTGCACCAGACCAAACAATGGACGTCTTCCTCACGGTGTTGACCTGATGATGAGCGACTTCGCTGGCGGCGCCTCCGGTTTCCCCATGACCTTCCATGGCGGCAAGTACACTGGTGAGTTACACACACCGAAGTAGAGCCATTTCACTCGGCGGCCATCTTTGAAACGCTGTTTCAGTCATGCAAGCACAGCTCCTATCTCTCTTTGGGGAAACATTAACTTTTCCAAAATATGAATACATTTTATACTTGAAATCACCAATTCAATCTGACAACATCTGTCTCATGACATTTTGTTTCTAAACTCTCAAATCATGACAAAAAACTGCATATTTTAAGTGGAGTTGCAGCCAATGCACATGTGCAATCATAAGCATGCTTCTCAAAACACTGACAGTTTGTATAGCAGGAGCTTTCTGACGGCAGCTGCAGTGGTGCGATGACTTTACCAATACAGCATCACAGTCCGGCCCACAGCTGAGAGAGCGTTGGTGCCGGAAGTAAATTTCCCATTCATTTCTCCCATCGATGTTTTGTAAAATCCATATCTAAAGAGTTTTAGAGCATGTCTGAGGATAACCAGAACTCATAAGCATACAACATATCATTTCGAGTGAAAAAACAAAGAGAAAGTCAAGGGTACAAGCCTGTGTACATATTTTCATTTCCGAGCAAAGGAACTACTCCTCCCATAAACCACCGCGCCTCACTAAACTCGACTGAAGCCACCGTGAAAGAGCCTTTTGAGCGACTTCCAAAACTGACGACGGCCACGTGAACTTTTTCCTCCAGTGAATTTTATATAGTGAATGTGCAGGGAAACTCCTTTTCCTTGATTTACCGAAGCTTATATGTAAAACGCATTTGCAGGTCCAAATGCTAAAACATTGAGCATCTGGTTCGCTCACAGGCTGTGTGTCCACCAAAGAGTTTTTCCACGTGCCTGTCGTATGATTTCAATTGTTTTCAATGGGACCGCCGCATTTTTTAAACGCAATGAGCGTACCGAGGCGCTGAGCGTTTTTTTCACGCTGAAGCGCCGAGTGCCCAGCGTTTTTACTTGTCGCTGGGAGTTGAAAAATGTTCAACTTTGGATAAAACGCGGCGCTCATCACTGTCACTTTTTACCCAGCCGTCCAATCACAGTGGAGGAGGGGCGGGACTAATACCACACCGACCAACTGTCAACATTCAAACTGCTGCGGATATTCTGTATCATAGCAACGAAACGTCTCAACGGAAAAAACGCTGCGCTGCCAAAAAACGCTCTCAAGCGCCCAAAGCACGGCGTCTTCAGCAACAACCAACTGCACATCCAATGGCGCTGAGGTGCGACCAATGAACTAGCCCTACATTATTACGCGATCTTCAGTTACGCGGACCTTCGCGGGGTTTAACCTGATAGTTACACGACTTCCACCAATCAGATGCATCACTGTAGGATTGTGGGATTGTTCAGGATTGTGGGTAATGAAGTACTTATCCAAAACATCGCGAATTAAAGGCATTTATCTTAAAACAAGGTTCGTGCCCCATAAACTTTTGGCGTTTATATGAGCATATACAATCACTTAGTACAGCCGTTGCTGGTTTTAAGTCTGTGATGTATGGTTACGTTTTTATGACTTATATCTCAACTGTCAACGGAGAAATTATTTTGAATTTTTACTTCCGTCACCGGCTGTGGGCGGGACTGTGATGCTCTATTGGCTCTTTTATTTAGAAGGCGGGACTTATTCTGCCATATTGTTCTCCCATTTATAGTAATGAATGACTGCTATATCTAAAGTCTGTGTTACACATGCAGGTTTATTTCTTCAAAATGTGCATTAAGACAACTGTCTAATTCTAATTTCCTGACTTTGACAGAAAGCTGGAAGGCGGATTTCATCAAGAATGAGAGGAAGAAACTGCTAAACTATAAGACTCAGCTGGTGAAATCCCTGCAGCCCAAGATCTACTGCCCGTTTGCTGGATACTTCACTGAAGCTCATCCTTCTGACTGGTGGATATTAACGCATCTCTCGTCACAAAACCTTCCAGATAGTTAGTTACTAATGTATTTTCACTAACGAAAACAATAGTCAACACAAAACAACATTCACAAGCTATTTATGCATGTAGTGTGATGTCTGACTCAAACACATTACTATTACAATACTGTTCAAAGATATTTTTTTGGGAAAGTAATTAATACTTTTATTCAACAAGGACGCTTTAAATTGATCAAAACTAACAGTGAAGATGTTTATAATAGAGACTTCTTTCAAAAACATAAAAAAATATTAATTATGTACATAACAGTCATCAAAGTGTATTGTGAATTAACTCTCGAACATGATTAACAGGTACATAAAGGAGACGAATATCAAGAACAGCGCAGAGGACCTGAACGAATCCGTCAGGAAGAGCTGTCCAAACACCTTAACCTGGACACCGTTACCCGGTGCTGTCCTGGATCTGGCCCTCGCACTAAATTACACATCTGACACATCTAAAAGGTATCATGGCTTAATTAGCATTAGCATGCAACTTTCCCATGCCTTTATTAGCATTAGCATGTAATGTTCCCATTGCTTTATTAGCATTAGCATGCAACTTTCCCATGCCTTTATTAGCATTCGCATTTAGTGTTCTTTGTATTAACGTGTAGCATTCCCGTGGCTTAATTAGTAATTTCATGTTTCCTTTATTTGATGATCTGTAAACTATTTTTTGTAAACATAATGACTGTAGTCTCTGACATTGTTTTTTACGTTTATTGTTTATAGTTTTTGAGCATGCATCTGTTTAATTTTGATTTGAGAATTATGTTATGATCATATTTATATATGCATGTAGCATGAGCCTCTGTAATTATGCCTGCCTGTTTTTCATTTTCTTTTCTGGTTTTAATATCATATCATACACATAGGAGTGCCATCACTGAACCGCCCAGCACTGCGAAGATCTATAAGGACAGTTGGGACTTTGACTTGTATGTGGATGAACTGAATGCTTCCATTTCAAATGAAATCTTTAAAAACAAAAGCTGGATCCAGTATTATTATAACTGGGCAGGATTTAAAGGCTACAATCTGGTCATTCGGGTAAAAAATTTTTTTTTTTTAGGTGGATCTCACACATACACAAAGAAACACAGATGAACTCTAACACTGAGTGTTCCCCATCAGGTCATAGAGACGGATGATGATTTCAAGCCCCGGCATGGAGGTTACGACTATCTGGTGGACTTTCTGGACCTTTCTTTCCCAGACACGCGCCCGGAGAGAGATCACGCGTACGAGGAGGTGACCTGACTCAAGTCCTCGACCACAGGCTTTGTTGATGAGATATGCACTGTTTCTAATACATGAACCGTGTGTGTTTAGATCAAGAACAGAGTGGGCGTGATGAGACACGTGGTTTTGAACGGGCTGCTATGGGACGACCTGTACATCGGCTTCAATAACAGAATGAGTCGAGATCCTGATGTTTACCATCACAAGTAAAATAAAATCATCACAATATGAAAAGGAAAAATACATAAGAGTGTATATATAAATATATGTGTGTGTGTGTGTGTGTGTGTGTGTGTGTGTGTGTGTGTGTGTGAGAGAGAGACCGTGTGCGTCTGAGTCTTCCTCGGTCACAAGCATTAGGCAAATCCAATGGTGGTTTACAGGTATCAATATGACAAAATAGGTGTGTGTGTGTAGGTGTGGTTATCTGAAACATAAAATACAATAAAATGTATTAATAGACACATAGGCTTTGGTTAAATATAGTTGCATAAAGTTACGACCCGTAGTACAACCAAAAATCCACTAGTAGGAGCTCAACAACACTATAAATGATCCTGCATTAATGCCACAAATCTCCACACGACGAAAAGCACCAAAAACAGGCAACCTATGTATTAAATATAATATTTGCGGTTATTTGCAAAGCAATAATTAAAGTATATACAGTAAATGGCTACTTTATGAGCGCATGCAGAACTACAACGAATGCATGCATTATGGGCAACGCAGTCTACGTCAGGGCACAGACTTTTAACAATATACATAGTTTTAGTTTAGCTAATTAACTTATTTTCATTTATGAAATGTATATTTTAATTTCAAATAATATAAAAAGTGTTAGTGTTTACACTAGATTGTTTTACTTGTTAACATGAGATAACTGCATTAGTTAACATTGAGAATGCACAATAGCATTTATCAATCAGTTCATGTTAATCTCAATATTTACTACTATATTTAACCAACATTAACATTAACAAATGTTACTAAATGCTGTTATTTAGTTTCTGCTAGTTTTATTAGTTTCTGTTAGTTAATGCATTCAGCGATGTTAACAAATGAAAGTTTATTTTAAAGTTTTACCATTTTAGTTTAAGTTAACTACAACAACGCTGAAGACCATTTTGCTAACATGACGACAAAAACATTTCAGATCAGAGAAAAACAAGCAGTGGCATTCATGACTATTAATCGCATTTGTTTTCCACTGGCAGGTTCTGGAATCACTTTCAGACAGAACTGCCACTATCAGCGCCAGACTGGCATCATTTCCTTCAGACCGCCAATGAAACGAGATGGATCCCGCTCTCAAACATCGGGATACATCTGTTAGGTTTTACTATATTTGGCCAAGCAGTGGTTTGGGTGGCTCGCCAATGTATGAGATTTCTCCAATACATAAAATAAGTAGGTTTGACCAGAGTTCATGTGGGGAGAAGAAGGTCTGTAGTGTAACAGTCCTTCAGCAGTGATGTTCGCATGTCGCCATTCAACAATCTTAAACCAAGAAACCTGTTAGGACCTCCCACAGGAGATCGATCTAACTTGCTAATCCACTCTGAGCAATGTTGATTATTTTTATTCATTCACACCAATCAGTTTCTATGGGCTATTCATCTGTATGGGAGTGGATTACATAGTTACAATGTAAATGAATCTGATGACTGAAAATTGGTAGATGTCCTGACCGCTGATTTAGGACCTCTGAAAGCCAATATTTGCACTCACGTAAAAAACCCGAGTGTCGTTGTCGACTCTGAGTTAAAGTTTGACAAGCAAATTTATGTTGTCAGAGTTAATATAATCAAGAAATAGAGGATGGTTATTTTATTATTTTTTAATTTATTTTTTTATTTCTATGTCAATATGTTAGAAAATTCATTTATTTGTAAATGTTTGAAAATGTATGGGTTTGGTGAAACTTTTTGTAATATTAATAAGTAATAGGGCAGGCTTGATGCATGGATGCAAAGGGATTTGTCTATATTTGGAAGGATTTATTTAACTAAAATGGAAAGTCTCTCTAGGTGTTTCTATTTCTAATAGAGCTATTAAGACCATTAATCAAATTATTTTTCGATAATATATGGAGAAAACGTGTGCACTATATAAAGAAGGTACAAGATTATGAAAACGGTGGATTACAAGCCTTTGACTTCTATTGTATAAATGGTATGTTGATTATTGAAGGTAAAATGGCTTAAAAAAAATTATAACAAATTTTGCATTTCCAGAGGGATATTAATTTAGAAAATCAGGTGGAGTTGTTTTTCTACTGAGATGTGATTTTACCGTTTCCAGACTGCCAAACAAAATATCTTCCTTTCACTAGTAGATTTTGCTTCATTGGAAGTTATTATATAACCACAACTTTTCTCCACACAAAATTCCTATATGGAACAATAGAGATTGTTAACTTTTAAAGACTTTTGTACTAAATATAATAAATATAACAATGTGAATGCAAACATTTTGAGCATGTCTTAAATGCCCTTCCATTGCATTACCCTGAGTTAACCTGGTGAAAACCTGGGTTCAAAGGGTGAGAAGGGGGAAGTGGTTCAACCCACAATGCAGTGCGGTATGAAACCGATGTGAGGTTTTGCTCTTTAAAAAAAAGCAGAAGTGTGTTGATGTCGCGATGTTCACGCCATTAACAGGAAACTTCTCTATCGTCTGTCAAACTCAGTCATGAGTGACTTTATTCACGTTCTTCTGATTTGTGTCACCGTTCTGCTGAAAGCGGTTTCCAGCGAGCCCTTCTTTGATATCACGGATCCAGAGTTTATTAAGGAATGTGTGACAGAACACAATATGGCCCGCACCAACGTCAATCCATCAGCCAGCATCATGCGCTACATGGTAGGTTAAATATGAGAAGCTAAACATGCTACAACAGACATCAGTTTTGTTTTAATATTATTTTTTTAATTATAGTATTATTGACCATTTTTAGTTTCAGACTCCTAGTATCAGCGTTGTTTTAGTATTATTACAGTATTTACTAATATTTTGAATTATCAATTTAGCTTTTCAGTATCCAACCAATTCCTCATAAAACCTGTTCTACGTTTTTTTTCTCATGCGATTTCCTGTTTCATGCACTGTAAAAAATATTTTCAAGATTTGTTATCACAACATATTTTCTTTTATAATAATTTATTTAGTTGAGATAACTTATTATTTTGAGTTTCTGATGGTTAAATTAATCTCCTTCATTGTATTAACTCACTTTTTCCAGTTCAATCAACTTTAAATTTTAAGGCAACCCAGGTTACTTGCTTTAAGTTAAACCAACAACAAAAATATACAGTGTAGTAATCACAACATTTTTTCTTTTGTCAAATCAACTTAAATAATTTATTTAGTTCAGATAACATATAATTTTGAGTTTCTGATGGTTAAATTAATCTCCTTCATTGTATTAACTTTTCAATGAACTTAAAATTTTAAGGGAACCAGGTTACTTACTTTTTTAAGTTAAACCATCAATATTTTTATTGTGTGCATTACAGTGTGCATGTACTGGTGGTAAAGAAAAGCATATGTTGATTTGTTGATTTAAGTTCTCCCAGCCTTAAAGTACAAACATTAAACCAGCAAACCATTTTGAGATGTGTGTACAGTGCAGATTGCATGTGGGTCTACGGATCTGTCATAAGCCTACAACGTTAATCACAATGTGTGTGTGTGTGTGCAGACGTGGGATGAAGGGCTGGCGGTGACGGCGCGGGCCTGGGCGAGATTCTGTGTCTTTGAACATAACATTTACCTACGGGATGAGGGAAGAATGCACCCTACGTTCACTTCTGTGGGTGAAAACATCTGGGCTGGAGCGTCATACACACAATTTAATGTGACATCAGCAATTAAGTTATGGGTGGACGAGGTCAAAGATTACAATTACCATCAGAACCAGTGCACAAAAGTGTGCGGCCACTACACACAGGTACACACTCAGATCTCACGCTCAACCAAACACTCATGTGTTCAAACATAAGTGAATAAGCCCTCTCTGAATCTCCTGTTTTCTGCACGTAAAGATTGTTTGGGCAGACACGTACAAGGTCGGTTGTGCCGCGCAGGCCTGTCCAAACGGTGTGGCTAAAACGTCTTTCTCAACAACGGCTGGAATCATATTTGTGTGCAACTATGCAACAGCGTAAGTATGAAAACCACGTTTGCAGGTGAATTATGTTTCAGTAAAGCAATAAAACTTCTTTTCAACAGGGGAAATTATCACGGTGTAGCTCCGTACAGAACAGGGTCACCGTGCAGCGGATGTGGCCAGGAAACGTGTGAAAACAAACTCTGTCGTAAGTGTCAGAAATAAACATAAACCTCCTTTCCAACAACCGCTTTACTTCATGCCTCTCTCGTTCTTTCACAGGAAACTCAACACGTGATTCACTGCAGAGTAAGACAAGCCCTCAATCTCTCTCAATCTGAATATACAGAAAACATGTTCACCTCAAACACACGATTATGCACAAATGTTTTTGATGGCGGAAGCTGATTATGTGGCATTAAACCACAAAAAAACTACACAAGATTTCATGAATATGCATTAAATGAACACTCTTAAAGATAAAGAATCCATGGGTGTTTCCATGAACCTTTAAATGACCTTTGAGAAATGAAAGCACTGAAACAACTAATATTTGGAGACACTAAAACTAGACTGTAGATCATATTTCCAATGTTTTTGGATTTACAAATATTTAAAAATTGTTATTTCTGTTAACAATTCTGGTTCACTACCAAAATCTTGGTTCTGAAGCAGAACTAGTTGAGAAACAACATTGCAAATGCAACGGCTTTCAGACATTTGTAAGAGCGACTGGAGTGTTTTGGGCGTGTCTTGCTATTCAATTCCCCTAGTTAATAAGTGTGTTTGTGTAGGTTATAGGTGGACTCCTGACTGGGACCCTGCGCTGTCGTCCTGCGGATCCTTCTGCCTGTCGGTTTTGATAATCAGACTCATATCTGTCCCGATTATATTTGCCAGCGTTTACTGTCTGAATTGCCGACATAATCTGTTTGCATACGAGTGAAACTTGCAAAAACATTGCACTGTGTATAATTATTTTATATTTATAAATACACACACATGCTTGTATATTTTGAAGAAATATTTTCATGTATAGACTGTATATAGATTTATATATAATTTATATTGTATATAAATATGAATCTTTTATATATAAATAATATTTTTTCTTAAATATACATGCATGTGTGTGTATTTATATATATAAAACAATTATACACAGTGCACCTGAATATATTATGTAAACACAAACTTTAATCATTTGACAGTCCTAATATATATATATATATATATATATACTACGTTTTAATTTTTTAAATTGTAAAAATTATTAACAATAAATTAACAATGGACAAACTGCAAAAAAGTATGCTTAAAACAAGAAAAAAATATCTGTCAGTTGGGTCATTAAAATACTCTTAATTCAAAGTATGATTCAATATTGATACTAATTTCCAATTACTTAATTTCTCAAGTCATTTTGCTTCTCAAATAAATGTATCATGGCTAAAGAATGTGTAGCTGTGGCTCATGTTTGCCTGTGTTTATTGCCATCATATCCTGTTTGCATATGAGTGAAGCTTCAAAAACTGAAAGTTCACATTCAGACAAAGCCACATTTCTACTGGGACATGGAGGGACAACAACTTGTTGAAGCTAATTTTATGCAAAGAATAAGTTAGAAGAAAATAATAAGTGAATTTACATTCACATTTTCTTAACAATTAAGCACATTTACTACACAAATTCTAATTTCTGCAATGCAAAATCTCCTCCTCATGAACTTTCAAGTATCTGTAGATCACAGTAATATTTAATGGGTTTGATTTGGGATACCAATTTAGTCCATCTATTCCTCTCAGTTTATACAAGTGAGACTGATATATGACAAAAATATCATTCGATTTATTGCCATACATCAGAGAAATAAAAAAAAGCATTTAAGCCAAGCATTCTGGGTAGCAAAAAAGAATCTTGAAAAATGAACACAGATGCACTTTGCTCATGACGAATGGCACGAGAGCATCACAGATTCAGCTGTTACAAAAGACATGTCGATTTATAGGTCATCTAATAGCCTTCGAATGCACATACTGTATATACTATTATTATAACTCAAGTATGTAACACGATCAACGCGCATCTGTCGCCTGCCTCAAACAGAAGCAGCGTTTAACAGTTTCAAACTCATGTGGTCTACAGTTTTGTGTTTCATATTTTCCCGTCTCTTATTCCTCATCTCCGACAAGCCAAAATCTTAAAATATTGTGATATTAAGGTTTTATAATGCAGTTGACGAAGCATAACACCAAACAACACAATATTACAAGCGCTGAACAGTGTGGTGTGAGTGTGTGTCTCCAGGATCAGAGTTCGGATCGACCGACGCGAGTTAGCTTTTGAGTTTCTTCCGCTTGCCGTCTTTCGCTGAAGGCGTCTCGGGGTTTACAGGAGGAGCTCCAAGCTTTTTACTTTTTGCTTTCTTCACTTTTTCTTTAATGGCTTGTATATCAATTTTGTTTTCTGTGGTTGCTATAAAGAAGAGAATAATAAATATTATATCATGAGTTCACATGCTTATTCATTTGCATTATTTACACAATTTAAAGTCATATTACCAGGAATGTTACTAGTCTTCTGACCAAGACCACATTCAGAACATGCAGATAACATAAGTTGCTCTGGATAAATGCACAAGCTAAACATATTATATTTACATATTAGTTTATTTTATATATTTTGATGATTTACCTTTTTATATAATTAATTATTATTAATAATACTTTATCTTGATTTTTTTTATTTTTTATTATATTTTTTGGTACGGTATGAGATGCCATCCTGCACCAGGGTTATTATCATTAACCATATATATATACACACGGGTATATACTGTGTGTGTGTGTGTGTGTGTGTATATATATATATATATATATATATACTTTTTTTTTACCTTTTTAGGTTTAATTTATTCTTATTTCAGTGTTAGTTTATTTATTTCCTGTATATCCGTATATAGTTTTTATTTATTTTATTTCAGTTTATTGGCAACACTTCTAATTTTTGTTTACTTAAAAAACTTGTACTTAACAAAAATCAGAAATGTTGCCAATAAACCGAGATAAAATTACTAACTAGAAATAAATAAAAAAACAAACTAAAACTAAAATAAAAATAAATTAAAAACCCTAAAAAGCAATATTGAAAAAAATTAAAGTTTAAATGGCAAAAGCTCGTTTTATTTTATATCTCAGCTACTAAAATCAACATATCTATTTTAAAATATGAATAAAAATATAATAAAAACTCGCATGTGTCTCAGTGTCTCAAACTTTACCTGGTTTGGTCTTCTTCACAACGGGCTTCTCTTTCGGGGGAATGAAATCCTTCTGCCGCTGCTCTTGTCTCTTGGATAAAGCTTCAGCCTGTTTCACCTTCAGTCAAAGAAATTAACAAGCGGTTAACAGTGAACTAGCTCAGCGCCAGTCAGTCCCTGCATCTGTCAAACACTCATAAAAATGCTCACCTTAATCTCAGTCATCTTCTTGCGCCTCTTCTCGCTCTCTAGCAGGAAGAACTCGCCGGTCGCCAGTTGCTTATCAATCTGTGCAGAGGAATATTTCACTTAGGCAAACAAGAACTGTCAAAAACAGCTTATTTATTTATTTATTTATTTAAATACCTGATTATTATTGTAATTTATATGTGCGGGATGTCCTCAAAAATACATTAATTCAACTAAAAACTCAACAAATATATTTATTCATGAACAAAGTATTTATAGATTTGATATTATATCAAAGAGTGTATATAAGAGAATATTATTATTTAACTAAGCAGTTGTTCTCAGGTTCAAGTCTATTTTTTGATACCCATCTGATTATTATTTTAATAATCATTATTAATTTCGCATTGAACTGTGCAGATTGACTATGTAAAAAACAATAAAAACTAATTGCAACACTTTACAATAAGGTTCCATTAGTTAATGTTAAGCCAATGCATTAACTAACAAGTAATACAGTATGTATTAAAGTAACAGATACAACTTCTGATTTTAATACGATATTAGTAAATAATTAAGATTAATAAAAGCATTAAAAGTACTTTTCATGGTTAGTTCATGTTAACTAATGTAGATAACTAATGTTGACAAACAAATAAGCTATTAACTGGCTTACATTACATTTGTATCTTTTATCATATTGCTGTTGTCGCCATGTTAAAAATGAAAATGTGATTTTATCATGTTTATGCGGGTGCATAGCTGTCAATAATTTGTTTTTCAAAATCCGGAAGATTTTCCGCAACTGCGTTACAGGTTGCCAGGTTGAGATGACAAATGGGTTGAAATTGTATGATTGTGTGAATATAATGCATTTAATACAAGATCTGGCAACTTGTCAACATTAGACAAACATATTGGTTTGATTATTCATAAATGAGTTTGGGCCATGCAAATTACAGGAGTTTCCCTGGAGAAATAACAAACCGGGAGGGGTCCGGGAGATACGGCAAAAAAACAGGAGAAACCCGGGAAAAACGGGAATGTTGACAGGTGTGTTGGTGTGTGGGTGTGTAAAAGCACCCTGTACTCGCGCACACCTCGAGTGGTTTATTGCTACCGTATCACATGATTCCTCTGGGGAAGTGTCGCTCGTACCTTGCTCTCGGGTTGAGGCGGGGGGAACGGCGTGTACTCCTTCTTCTTGATCGTCTTCTTCTTGGGCTGCTTGCGTTTGGAGAGACTCTTATGGCGGAAGTTGGGCAGGAATCTCTCCCAGTTCTGAGTGCGCAGATCCGGGTCGCTCGCCAGCTCCCGCTTGATCATTAATGTCTGGAGAGGATTGAATCACAAGCACACTTACTGTTAGAGTCACTCATGACGGCAGTAAGACCTTTTTAAAGGGATACTCCACCTCTGGAAAGATGAATGTGTATTTAAAATGGGTCATTTATGTAGATGAAATGTGAAATTATTTTTGAATTTGGAGTTTTCTAGAAAAGCCAGAAAATGTATTTTTGTATGTGAATGAAATCACCTTTTGAAAGTAACGTGATGCATTATAATTAAAATTATATTAATTACATTATTTCACCAGTAGGTGGTGACACTTGATTGTTAAAAATGTATTTGTCATTGAATCATTTATTCAAGAGATTCGTTCAAAAATGTTGATTCTTCCAGTAATGAAAGTCTTTGAGTGAGTCATTGAATAATTCATTGGGTGGATTTGAAAAAAAAAATTAAATCAAAAAAATTAAACATTTTGTCAGAACCTCGTGTAAATTACATTATTTTGTTTTGATTGTCATGGGAGAATAAGTTTATAAAATTATAACTAACATTTTCTTTTACACTAAATCTTAGTTTATAATATCACGCAGTCTTCTATGTACCTTTATGTTGTAAATGGGGTGAATGTTCTTCATCGTCTCAAGCACGACTTTCCGTACCTGCAGAAACAAGCGAGAAGCACAAACTCATTCAAATACATTCATGTAATTATGACTGAACAAAAGTATGGTTTTGAATGATTTAAATTAGGCCACTGTATGTCTCACCTCCTTCAAGCCACTGAACGGGCCGAGAGCCGACACTGTGTTGCCCTGAACCATCACGTAACAGTTGGTCAGAAGCTCTAGTGCCTGAAACAGAACAACATGAGATTTGATCACATTTACTGTAACGAAAAGACAAAACATAAAGCAGCAAAAGCAATAAAACAACAATACAACAATCAAAAGAACTTACTTCATCTCTTAAAAGTTAACAACAAAAGTGCAACGAACATTAAAAAGAGGAATCCAAAGTCAGCTAGTGAAAATGCAACTGTTTTTTAGCTTTCTAGATTAACTAAAAAAATAATGTATTAAAAAATGTCTATCAAAACTATTTGAGAGAACAGTTGAATTGGAAAATGAACATTAATTTATGCATTTATATATGAATCATTTTAAATCCCAGATTTTCAATGTGTTCTGAGACTTTTGGACCTCACTGTCTGGGAATTAAAAAATGACGACAAGTGAAGTGTAAAATGAAGGGAGACTGCTGTGAACTGAGCATTATCTGTGCCCACCTTCAGCGTGGAGCCCTTGGGGCCGATCAGCCTCTGGCGTCTCTTCACGAAGCGCTCTCTGTTTCGCACAAGAGTCCCGATTTTTATGATGTCACAAGCCATGTCGTCTTCAAGTATCCGTACAGCCTGAAATGAACAGGAAGGTTCAGCGAAAGACTTTAAGCTAAATTATATATATATATATATGTGTGTGTAAAGACATTTGTTTTAAATTTTAAAAAGGCCTCTAATGCTCACCAAGCCTGCATTCATTTATTCAAAAACTGTAAAATATTACAATAATTTTCTACTTGAATACATTTTAAAATGTAATTTATTAATGAAATCAAAGCTGAATTTTCAGCATCATTACTCCAGTTTTTGGTGTCACAGAAATATTTTGTAACATTATTAACACTTGTAAACATCAAGTGTTTGTATTGACACTTTTGATAAACAATGATAATGCATTGTTTTCTTCTGTCCTTATGCACAGAATTCACTGATATTTTATATATATACACACACACACACACACACACACTCACATACACACACAAAATAGCATATTAGAAGGATCATGTGACACTGAAGACTGGAGAAATGGCTGATGAAAATTCAGCTTTGCATCACAGAAATAAATTATCATCTAAAATATATTAAGATACAATAATATTATTTGAAATTGTAATAATATTTAGCAAATTACAGTTTTTTATTTTTGATCAAATAAATGCAGGCTTGATGAGCAGAAAAGACTTCTTTCAAAAACATTAAAAATAGTCATGTTTCCAAAGTGTTGCCCGGTACTGAATAACTGTATATATATATATATATATATATATTTTTTTTTTAAATCAGTGAATTATAACGATTGTAAAGCAGTACCTGTTCAAACGGCACACTTCTGGCCAATAACTTGATGAGATCCCTTGCTCTGAGGATTGCATACGGGTCAAATGTTTTCTTTGTTGTGTGCACCGTCATACTGCCTTCAATCAGGTCCAGTGTGGCATTGATGAACTACAGAACAGCAGGAGATGTCAAAAGAAAATAGACAAACAAATTCAGCGAGCTTACAAGCATTTATAAAAAAAAAATGAAGAGTTTCCTGACACGCACCACATCTCCAAGCGCTTTCTGCACCAGCGGCCAGCACTCTTTCAGGTACGCCTCCCTGTACTTGGGGAAAAGTGTGGCGAAGCTGCTCTCCTCCAGCAAACCTTTGGGGTTGTCCTCTCGGGTGAACTTGGGCTCTTTCCAGCCGTCTGGTACCGTCAGCAGCTCGCTCTCATCCACTACGTTTCAGACAAAAGGCCAGAGATTAATAAGTCATTAGGAATCTTACAGTAATCTGGGGATGTGTGTTTATTCCCCAAAATGTGCATGTAATATTATGTTCCACCTTGGGGTAGTTTATAAATACCATTGTATACACACATAAAAATCACTACAGGACTGTAGTATATATGTATAATACCACGATATTGACATTAAATGTCATGTCACACTGAGCCTGTACTAGTACATCTACAGAGCTGTAAAATCAACATTCAGATATTTAAACACTACGTCACACCACCTTTAAAGGTGCAATACCTAAGATTTTTGCATTAAAATATCCCAAAATCACAAGGCCAGTGTTATATATTTAGTAAAGATGATAACTCACAATATTCCAAATGTTTCAAACAATGTTTAAATCGCGAGAAAATTGAGATTTTAACCAAGGAAACGGCACGTGTCAGCAGGGGTGAGCTGGGAGTCGCGAGTCAATCGCGTCATATCCGCTTACCTCGGTTTCCGCTCTTACTACGTGTAGTCCTGGACAAATGCGGTAGTTGTAGTTGTGCGTTAGCGCCTATCAAACGGCAGCTTGTTTCGCGCATTTGTTATGGAATGGAGCACATATATTCTTTTCATTTATTCTCGGAATGTGAACTGTTGGCTGTAAAGGGGGTCGCACACCGGACGAGAAGCGCCGCGTCACGTTTAGGACAACTCCAGTAACGTTATCGAACACCGGACGCGCACTTTCTCATCAGTGTATGGCCAGCAATATTGTTATGTTTAATGACAGAAAATGAAGATAATGTCTGTTCTATGTTATTGTACTGTACAATTAAATACAATCGTTGCTGAGTCTGCATTCTGAAAACTTTACCTCAGAGCATCCGTTCACAGAATGAATTGAGAATCTCACGTGAAAAATCTAATAATAATCAGTAATTGTCATTCAAGCAGCTGATTTCTGTAAATGACTGCAAAACTAAATGCATAGATATTGCAGCATAGGGCAAAGTCAGGATCCATTAGCAACGGTTTGAGGCAAAAATAATTACAATTTTATATAAAACTATGTAAATGGCGCTCTGTGGCGCAGCAGGGTTTTGAACACGGTCCTGAAACGTTGCTGGGCGCCGCGGACAGACGCCGAATGGCGCCGCCGGTATGTGTACACTTATAGATAATAATGTGTTCGAATAATTATGTGGTGCAACGCGAAGCTGCAGCTTCTCGTCCGGTGTGCGACCCCCTTAACGTTAATTTTGTGAAACTGTAGCTGTGGTTGAATACTTACACGACATGAAAAGATGTGTCAAATGTACATTGCAGACATCCCAAGTCTCCCGGATCTCCCGCATATTGATAGCGTTTCCCTGATGCCCGCAAATTAGTTCAAATCTCCCGGGATATAATGTTAGAGCGAGACATAGCCTACTGCGCGCATAACATACAGCGCGCTGCGCGTGCACTGTACAGAGGGAGAGACTTTGCGTTTGTGCCTCGCGAACGCGAAAGTTAGCCTTCCCTCCCACCCCCACAATCTTGTTATCGAAATATACCTATATTACTGACATTAAATTGATTTTTTATTTTTATAAAGTTACCAAGGAGGGCCAACCACGTCAACTCCTTGCGAGAGACCTGCCCCTTCAAATCCTCTCCACCATAGCTTCGTCCAGTGACTCGTACAGTAACATCTGTGATAACTAATTTACTTTTAAACCTGACTTTTCTTGCACGGTTATTTCAGTTTAATGAAATACAAGCATGTCATTAAACGCAACGTTTATAGAAATCGAACTTTACCTCATCCATGACAACTAATTTTCGATTCCCGTCTGACTGATTTATCCACGGTGGAGTTGAAAACAACAGTTCCCATCATTCCGCGTTCCTCCACGGCGTCATCAAGCAAAGCCGTTGTTGTTGTTTTGAATGTAGCGCCCTCTAGCGGCATCTAGATCTTAGGTATTGCACCTTTAAAGTTTATTTACTATTCCTACTGACATCAGTTGTTTATTAGAGAAATAACGTTACAACCGAACAGGTGGAAGACAAGAAATGCACAATAACTGAATGTTTTGGGGAAAACAGTAATGAAATGCGCACACTAACAAGGTACTTCATCATTGTAGCTACAGGAAAAAAACAGAACTTTAATTCTACGTGAGCTGCATTAACATGTCATTTAACTTCACTAATGTGGAATTATACGCGCGATGTCATAAAACACTGTTTGGGTAAAACTGTGTATAATTAAGTGTAGTTGTACCTGTGTTTTTGCTCTTTTTCTGTTTTTTATTTGTTGGCGTTTCACTCGTGCTTTCCGTGGGCGCCGCCATTGCTGCTGTTAGCAGTGACGTCAGACGCTGCGCCTGGTCGTCATGAGCACGAGGCAAATAGCGCGCGTACTGCCGCCTGTCGGCGTGGAGGAATTATCATGTACTTACCCGTTTACAATTATTATTTATTCCATTTCACAAAACTAGAATAACTATATATTTGAATGTTTGATATATTTGAAAATTGATTAATCGCATCAAAAAAGTTTTTTAATTATGTGTGAGTGTGTGTTTGTGTCTATGTGCACAGAGAGAGAGAGAGAGAAAGAGGCAGACACGCACACACACACACACACATATAAATGTAATAAAATACACACAGTCACACACACAAACAAACTGTTAGATGCAATTAATCACAATTAATTTGACAGCACTATTTGTGTGTGTGTGTGTGTGTGTGTGTGTGTTTTCATGGTCTATTATAATAACACAAGTTATGAATAGATTTCTTATGTATGTGGTACACTAAGGTACTCATTTTATTTAAATATTTAGATATAATTTTACTAATATCATTAAATCACTATTTATTATGAAATTTCATCTTATCTGAATGCTTATTTAATAGTCCAAATCACCAACTTAACTTGTAGTATCCGACGAAGAACGTCAAGGAAGGGAGTCAATGTGATTTAATTTTCTAAAGTACAGACAGTCTGCTTGTCATTACACACACACACACACACACACACACACAACACAGTCCCACTGTGCAACATAATAAGAGTCACAAGTGCTCAAACCGAGGACGCATCAGTCGGTCCCGAGCGTACAGGAGTGCAGAAGCGGGTGTAGTATGATGTCGTACAGGTGTGTGTTGTGTCTGTGTGTGCTGGGGTGTGTGTGGCTCAGCACTGGATCCAGCACAGAGGAGCGGATGAAGCTGGTGGCTTTACTGCGCAGTGTGTCTCCAGCAGCACTGATCTCAGATCAGCCCCTCATCAAGGACCAACACGCTTCTGCTGGGCCCAAACTGCTCCTTAAAGACGGGATCATCCAGGGCCTGACGCTGGACAAATCTCATGTTTTTTATGGTATCCCGTTCGCGGACCCGCCTGTGGCAGCGTCCCGCTGGAAGGCCCCCCGGCCCGTCACACCGTGGAGAGGGGTGCGAGACGCCACCTATCCCAGAGCGCCGTGCATGCAGGCCTGCGTCGGACCCATCGCTGACGAGTGTCAAAAGAAGGTGAGCGGGACACGGACGTCACTGACTCTGGGGATCGGAAGATCAGCAAAACCATCTCAGCTGTTTGGGTTCCTTTAAAATCAAGAGCTTTTACGATATAGTTTTACCGTGAGAACTTTGGGTGAACTTAATTTTCACCCCAAAAACCGAACAAAGTAGTCACTTCTAAACCGTATATTTATTGATTAGATTGCTATTTAACTATTGTTATTATTTTGCATAAAGACAATTAAGGCTATTTTTAGTACTATTTAGATTCACATTACATTTTGACATAATGGCAATTAAAGCACATTTTCACACCAATATCCTTATTAATAAACTTCCCATTAGATAGATAGATAGATAGATAGATAGATAGATAGATAGATAGATAGATAGATAGATAGATAGATAGATAGATAGATAATTGCCTTACATTTATGTACATTAAATTTCCATTAATTTCATTCAGTGTTTTTTTTCATTAAATGACACAATTGTTCTTATATATATATATATATATATATATATATATATATATATATATATATATATAATATGAACAATTGTATATATAATGTGTGTGTATATATATATATATATATGAAATTTTTACATATATTATATATAAAAATAACTTTATTTTAATATATATATATATATATATATATATATGTACAGTATATGTATATATATATAAGCTATTTTTTATAAATAAAAAATAATTAACAGTAATTGCAAATTACTGTAAATAAAAATAAATGCAAAATAAAAATAAAATGTAATTTAAATAAAATTTCTAAAAAAGATAAAAAAATGCAATGTATGCTCATATTAGAATAAGAAATTAGTATGAAAATACATTAAATTGTCAATAATTCTCATTAAATTTTTAAATAAATATGAATTAAATATTTCTTTTTGCATTACAATTTATATATATATATATATATATATATATATATATAGTATATATTGCATTACAATTACGTTTGTACTGTGACGCCCCTGCTGGTAAAACAGAATGACTGAACTCATTTTTAATTCAATGAGACCATTTAAAATATATTAAATATATATAAATATATTTCTTTAAGGACTATATTGTTCATTAGGATGTGACAATATTTCACTTGTATGTGTCTCAGTGTCGGCATGCGTCACATGTCTACTTGTAGCAACTATTATTTGGAATAGCGCAGGCGTCATAAGGACGACATATAGAGTAAAAGACGACAGAATAATTGTTTTGAACAGTGTTTTCCCTCGTCAGGTGAGTGAGGACTGTCTGTACCTGAACGTGTTTGTTCCTCTGAGCGGGAACTCCTCGGCTCCTCTCCCAGTGATGGTGTGGATCCACGGCGGAGACTTCATCGCGGGATCCGCCTCGAAAGCGCTTTACGACGGACGATTCATCAGCAACTTCACTCGGACTGTGGTCGTGAGCATCGCCTACCGCCTCGGTGAGACACTCTGACTGTAAAATAAGTAACGATACCCTCATGTCACGATTCGATACATTTCACGATACGATACTATTGCGATACTGTGATACTTGACAAAAAATGTACTGTTGTTGATTACAATGCTAAACTTGGTGTTGCATTGTGGAAATGAAAAGTCTTGGACCTGATGCCGGGTTTTACAATGATAGGCTACATATTTTTAAAATAATGTAGGCAACTTTTTACAGTTGACATCAAATATTTGGCATTATCAGGACCCACAAACAGGCATTATTATACATTATATTCAACATTATGTAGGCCTATAGTAGTTTAATGTAGTCCAAACTCTGAAAACTTGAATTTTTTACTCACGCAGAAATGTTATTTTGGGGGAACTATACACAATACATATTGTTGCATTTGTGTATTGCGATATATTGTGACATGATATATTGTTACACCCCTAAAAATAAGTCATGAACACACAGCTGTCTCTCTGCAGGGGCTTTCGGCTTTCTAGTGTCGGGAAAAGACCCGGGAACGTCAGCGGTGGGGAATTATGGGATTCTGGATCAGCAAGCGGCTTTGCTCTGGGTGCAACAGAACATCGCTGTGTTTGGAGGAGACCAAAGCAAAGTGAGGACAGAAACTTGTTTATAAAGGGTTAAATGCTGAATGACTGAGCACAAAAAGGACAATAACGATACAAATTTAGTTCACTGTAAATATAAAAGAATATCGGAGGCCACGACTATAACGATAACGACACAGAGGAACGATATCAGTGGAATCACTTTCAGAACGACTTTTCTAGCTGATAAACAACAAAAACATTGACAATCAGAAGCGATCCTGCTTTAAAGAGCTCATGCATTTACATTTTTATATATAGGCTATCTATATACATATTAGAGCTGTCGAATCCATTAATCGTATCTAACACAAAAGTTTGCGTATATTTTAGGGATGCACCGATATGAAAATTTTGGCCGGTACCGATAATTCTTTATATTTGCAAGCCGATAACCGATATATTGGTAGATAAATCTAAATCCACTTTTGTAGACAATTTTTGAGAGCCTGATTATAAAAAAAGTCTCCTCATTAAAAGCCATGATACAAACACAATTATGATGTTCTTATTTTAATGTTGTGTAGCCAATATGACAGACTTTTGCACTTTAACTGGATTTTACTTTTTTTTAAGTGATTTCAATCGTATTTCAAGCAATTTGAAAGCATCATGTTGAGCAGTGCATGTCTAAAATGCCTCAAGGAAATAATACATTATTTAACATTTTTTATATATCGTCTAAATGTTCTTGTTGGGCAGATAACGATAACATTAAAAATGATCATATATCAGCCGATACCGATAATATGGCCGATATATCGTGCATCCCTAGTATATTTATTAGTTTAGTTTGCATTTATTGTCATTGAATATGAAATACAACAAAATTTGATATCTCTCATAAAAAATGATATTTTATTTAAAATAATATTATTTATATTATTATATCAAAAAATATTATATTTATATATAGTATGAATGTGTGTGTGTGTATGTTTATGCTTTTATTTTTTTAAATTGTGCACAACATTAAATCTCAGTAATTGCAATGCAAAAGATAAAGGCAATAGAAATCAAAATATTAAAAAAAATCGAAATGACACTATTATGTGTGGAAGCGTTTTGCATGAGGAAACGAAATCTACTCAAGTTAACTATCTCAGAATTACGAGACCATTTGTCATGGAAAAAAGTTTTTGCTCTGTTTTTCTGAATTAACGAGTTTTTCGGAATTATGAGATATATTTTTCTTGAAAAAAAACAATTTCACTCTGTTTTTATGAATTAATCAGTTATAGATCAAGTCATTAATTCAGAAAAACAGAGTAGATTTTTTTCTTAAAGTGAATGCAATACTCTTCCGTAAAAATGCCATTGATTTCCTTTATGCAGAATAATTTAATAATTTTTGCAAAATGTTTTTTTAAATTTATTTTGTTCATTTGATGTTTGGGTAAAAATAGTCATGACTGCATGAATTTGACTCAAAGATGAAATAAAATAACATGTTCTCATGAGTTTGTGAAACAATAATGCAAGTTCCTGATCCAGTCAGAAGTGTGTGTCTGTGTGTGTTCAGGTGACTGTTTTCGGCGAGAGCGCAGGCGCTCAGTCGGTCAGTCTACATCTGATGATCCAGAGCAGCAAACCACTCTTCAGACAGGCCGTTCTCCAGAGTTTACCCTTCTCCATTCCTCTGAAAACACGGTAAACACACACATAAGTGACACCCAAACACAAAACCAGTCAAAAGGGTACATTTTTTTAAATTGAGTAGTAGGCATCACCTGAAAGCTGAATAAATAAGCTTTCCATTGATGTGTTGTTTGTTAGGATGAAATATTTGACCGAGAAACGACAATCTGAGGGTGCAAAAAAATCGAAATATTGAGATAATCGCCTTTAAACTTGTCCATTTTTGTTCGCGATATTGCTGCATCCACTCACAAAAATACATTTTTGATATAATTGCGGTAGGAAATCTACAAAATATCTTCATGGAGCATGATCTTTACTTAATATCCTAATGATTTTTGGCATAAAATCACAATGTATTGTATACTCAAATATAACTGTGTGACTTGTGACTGGTTTTAGTGGTCCATGGTCACACATAGACATGCATCATACCTTCAAACACTGATGCGTCTCCTCAGGCACGAGTCTCTGAAGCTGGGGAAGAACTTTGCAAAGCTGGCCAACTGCTCGCTCGTGGACTTGCAGTGTCTTCTGTCTCTCAGTTCTCAGGCGGTGCTGGACGTACAGATCAAATCCAGTAATCCTGCATTTCACATCTCAGAGATTAACCGCCTAGTGCACAGATTTCACACACATCATATGAACCGTCGGTTGTGTTCTCAGGCTCAAAGGTGGTGAATCCCTTCCGCTTTCTGGAGGTGTTTGAGAGCTGGGGGCCTTATATCGACGGAGAACTGATCCAGGAACAGTTCGTCAGCGCCTTTCAGAAAGGACACTGGCAGAAGGAGAAACCCGTGCTGCTCGGTACAATCAGAATAGCAATTCAAAGTCAACATCAAATCAGAATCGAACAGCTCATGTGTGTGTGTGTTTCAGGGAGCACCTCAGAAGAAGGTGTGATCTTTGTGTACGGTGTGTTCACCAAGCCTGTGTCACCGGTCGAATGCACTGTCTACACGACGGCCATCTTCAAACATCACGCCATCAAAATCCTGCGCAAATACCTGCCGCTCTACACACACGCAGACCGCAGGGACATGCTAGCACAGGTTAGCCACACACACTGATGTGATCAAAATCTCTCTCTTCACTTTCCTTTTCAGATGACATCATCAATCCCTCTTCATTTTGCAACACTTTGTCCCCATGCAATCTAATATTTACAGAATTTTGTGGCCGACGGCCTTACAAGAGGATCTTTGTATGATGACATCATCATATTACAGCCTATATATGGTATTATAGCATCATATATATATTTTTGGAGGCTATTAAAAGCGTGAAGTGCATATACTTCCGGCCTTTCTCAGTTTTTTCGATTATTTATAATTATAACTTTCAACAGTTTTGGAAATTTTGACATTTTAATCTCCATAATGATGATTTAGTCATAATTCCATTTTTATATGTGAATTAGTATGACATAAAAGTATGGCTTTTTCTCATAATTTTGTATTTATCTTATAATTTTAACTTCGTATGTCCTAGCTTTTTATCTCGTAATTTTGACTTATGTCATATAGAGAATTGCAATTTTGCTCTGTTTATATTTTTAAAATAATTATGACATACTAAGTCATAAATATGAGATTAAGGTATATAAATATATAAATATATTTAATTTTCTAAATCTGTTTTGAGGATGTGAAACGAAGACAAAAGCTGGATTCGAAAGCACACTTCTCTCACTGTCTCTGCCATAGACATCTATGGTTAAGCTATAGTAGTAAAAATATTATGCTAATGTGCAGTTATGAATTATGCAAAAGATTCAAATTGAGAAGCCTTTTAAATGCTGCTCCACAAGGTGGCGCTGTGACCCAGTGCTGGATTCATCTGAGGGGTCAGTTAACATGGACACTCATTACACAAGACTGCTGAAATAATACATATAAATATGAGGCTACATGAAGAAAAAAATATTTTGTCAAATAACTGAAATAAAATAAGTTTCAGTACTGAAATTACTAAAAATTAATTGCTTGAAATGCTACTATAAGGCATAAAGATATTATTAATATATTATGTGTACCGTGAAAAGCGCTATAGAAAATAAAACTGACTGGATCTAAACTCAGCTAACTGAAATAAAATCAGTTGAAGCTGAAGTACTAAAACTACTAAAGCTAAATAGAAATCAATTGAAATAATAATAAAACAAAAACTAAAGAAAATTATGAAGTGACAAGAAAATAACTTATAAAATAAAGATAATTACATAAAAACATAATATCTGAATAATAAATATTACAAACTATAATGTATAAAATATAGATAAATTAATAACTAATTTAATACAAAATAATATTAATAAATATGATAATAGTATAAACTAATACTAAAGTAACTCTGTTGGTTAAAAGGCTGCACTGTTCAGCCAAGATACAGAAAGTCAGTGTGTTTGTTTTTGTGTGTGTCCTGAAAGTGAGTGTCCGTGAATAGAGTTTTAGACCGCAGGCGCTGGATTCTGAGTGTGTGTGTGTGTGTGTGTGGGAGGGAACGGCTGCCTCCAAATGTGTGTGTGTGTGTGTGTGTGTGGGGGAGGGAACGCTGCCGCCAAATGTGTATGTGTGTGTGTATGTGTGTGTGTGTGTGTGTGTGAGCTGATGAGTGTTTGGTTACCAGGTAACAGATAGAGATATTTAACCTACAGAGACTGAGAAGCTCTACAACAAGCACCGACAAATAAACACATCATGTCAACAACACACTGAATGTTTAGCCTATCTTTGCCCTTCACATCTGTCTGAACTCATCATATTCAACATGCTGATGTTCAAGAATGTGTTCACACACACAGAGCTCATTTTAAAGCAGAATCAGTGATGTGTGTGAACACAGTCTCTCAGGGCCAGACTTCAGTGATCAGAGTCTAGTTCATCGGCTCAGTTCAGTTTAGTACACCTGGAGAAACTGATATCTGTTAGCTTTCGCATTCACGCTGTCAGTGTCATGTGACTTGCTGTATCTCTAGAGCCTCATGATGATGATGACATAATTATGCTTTTATTCAGCAGGTAGGCGTTAAATTGATTAAAAGTGACAGTAAATAATGTTTTCTATTTCAAATAAATGCTGTTCTTTCCACAAAATATGAAGCAGCACAAACTGTTTTTCAACTGATAATAATGTATTATGTATGTATATATGTAATAATGATGTAACTGATAATAATCAAAAATGTTTTTTGAGCATCAAATCATCATATTAGAATGATTTCTGAAGGATCATGAGACACTGAAGACCGGAGTAATGATGCTGAAAATACAGCTCTGATCACAGGAACAAATAACAAAAATATTTTTGGTAAATAATTGACTTTTCATGTCACAATCATATCTTTTTAAGTCATAGTTTTGACTTAGCATGTCATAATTTCGACTTCATCTCATAATTATGACTTTTAAAGTCATAATTTTGACTTTTTAAGTCATAACTTCAGCTTTTTGTCATAATTTCAACTTTGTCTAATAATAATAATGATTTACAAAAGTATGTTTTTCTTGTGTGGTGGAAATGGGCTTCCAAGCAGTTTTAAAGGGATAGTTCACTTTGAAATTAATTTTTGATATGTTTTAGCTTACCTCCAGGGCATCCAAGATGTAGGTGTCTTTGTTTCCACAGTAGTTTCAATTTTGATATTTTTAGGTCAAACCGTTCTTGTCTGTCAGTCATATAATGCAGGTCTATGGTCACCACCTCAAAGAGCATGCACAGAGAAGTCCAAATTTAACACGATTTAATGACTCATAAATGTGTAAGTACATACTGATGGCCTAAGACACGAAACAAGCGTTTTCCGGCGCTTTCCGGCTCTTGCGCAGAGGTGGTGACCATAGACCTCCATTATATGACTGACAGACAAGAACGGTTTGACCTAAATATATCAAAATTAAAAAAACTGTGGAAACAAAGAGACCTAAATCTTGGATGCCCTGGAGGTAAGCTAAAACATATCAAAAATTAATTTCAAAGTGAAACCATCCCTTTAAACTGATATTTCACAATGTTTACTGTACGTTTGATCAATATAAATGCCTGCCTTTGTCCTTTCAGATAGTGACTGACTACATCTTCCTGTGTCCGTCCCGGAGAGTGGCCCGTGCCGGTGTGTTGTCCGGGAGCTCCGTGTGGATGTACGTATTCGATCACGTGGCGAGTGACCATCGCGTGTGGTCGGGCCTGTCGTTCTGTTATCATCACGTGTGTCACGGAGCAGAGCTGCCGTTCCTGTTTGGCTCGGCCGCGGTGGCAAACTTCACAATGACTCGACCCGAGCGACTGCTGTCCAATCGCATGCTGTGTTCCTGGGGTGCGTTCGCCCACGCGGCTGACCCCGGGTCACACACCCACGCGACCGCCTTCTGCCAGCAGCAACGGCCACCGGCATGGCCTCGCTACACGGCTAACAGCGGCTGGCTGATCATGAACCTCACGACACACACACACACTCAGCCAGGGTCACGCGACGACATCTGCGACTTCTGGGACACACTGGGAATATACCCGTGATACTGTTTCTCCTAGACTGCAGAGAAATCATTTTCTTACTCAGTAGTTCTGTGTTCTTTGCCAGTACAAACATCGAAAAATTCAACACATTTACTTTAAAATGACTCTTGTTTTATGTAAGATGAATCAAAATTAAGTGAACTAGTTTGAACTAGTTGTGTTTCTGACCCTTTTTTCTTGATTTTGGTACATTGGTGGTTCTATATAGAATGATTTCATATCAATATCAATTTTAAAGAACATTTAATGCCCAAAATAATCTATATAAGGAGAAATGTCTTTGATTGCATAATACTTTCATGTTCAACAGGTTATTTAAATTTGTCTAGTGATAATGTTTGTTTATGAGCTGTTTAACTCATAAAATTGAATTAAAACTAAATGCATAAAATGATCACATGATTGGAACCCCTAAAAGGTTCTATGTATTTATATATGAAGCGCCTGACGGAACCCTTGAAGGTTCTATAGAACCTTTTCTTCTAAGAGTGAACATTCTGAACATCTGAATTACATCTGTTTTTATTTCTTCTAAACGATTTAAGTAGAATAGTCAAAGACTATTATAGTCAATAGTCAACTCTACTAAGTCTGTAATACTTGTTTCTAAGAATTTTTAATATGCTCAATTTTATTTGATGTAAAAACAATTAAGGAAACTTTTTTATAATTAAAAAAAAAAGCACACACACATATATATATATATATATATATATATATATATATATATATGTATATATATATATATATATATATTAGAGCTGTCAAATGATTTATCGTGATTAATCGCATCCAAAATAAAAGTTTGTGTTTGTATATATATAAATACACACACATGCATGTATATTTAAGAAAAAAATATTATTTATATATAAAATATTCATATTTATATGTAATATAAATTATACACAAATCGAGATACACTATATACATGAAAATATTTATTTAATATATACAAGCATGTGTGTGTATTTATATATATAAAATAGTTATACGCAGTGCACCCACATTTATTATGTAAACAAAAACTTTTATTTTGGATGCGATTAATCACGATTAATCATTTGACAGCCCTAATATACTGTATATATATATATATATATATATATATATATATAAAACTCAAGTTTAAATATATATATCAGATGTACTGTATATATACTTGTATATATATATATATGGATGGTACACATACTGCAAAAACAGTATGACATTGTGTAATGCACTATCAAATGAAATGCATAATGGCTGAAATGGGAATAGTACATTAGTGTTACTACTTCTGTCACATAAAGCTATGGAAGAAATACGAGTAGTATGCGAGTATGTTACTCTGAACTCAGCTTATGTCTTTACAAGGATTCAATCTCGTTCAGGCATAGCAGCTCCAGTAAAATACCTGTCTTTTATACCTGTCTGGTATTTAAATAAACATATTTGCCCATAATAATAACCAGCAAAGAGCATTAAAAGCACTCGGAGGTCTGTAACTGCGGATGAGAGAACGAGGCGGAGTGGGATCATATCGATTGCTGTACGTGAAGAGCCTGAGTAATATCGAAAAACTCAGCAACGAATCTGAGGAGACCAGATGAACAACAGGACGTCCTTTTCACTCATGCAAAGCGTCTAGACTCTAGAGTTTATGGGTGGATTACAGTCTTATTTGTATTTGTGAGCTCACAGTGTTTGTTTGCTAGGCTGAATGGTTATGCTGGTTGACTCAAACATGTCTGGACCTGACCTGACCTTCCGCAGGGTAACTCACACCAAATAACCTTCCCATAAATTCACAGACAAACCAACAAAACGCAGCGAAATGACACGCGGAGGTTATGAGAAACCATAAAACACACAGTCCGGCCCTGACATCAGTGTGTGGTGTGTTTACCGGCCTGATGATTTCTCTGCGGACCCGCCGGATAAGTGATGTCTTCCATATGTCAGAGTCCCTCGGGCACAGATCACATCAGACAGTGAACGAATCCTCTGCCAGGATCTCGCACTCGGATTCCTGCCCGGTTTACTCTGCCCAAACGTCCTCTGAGAACTGTGAACTGAGAGCTATAATGAAAAATAACGATCCGATCTTTAATAATCACCACCATAAAAACCTCTGAATCTGATCTTCACACAGTCGTGGCTCGCTGACTTAAATCTTTGCACTTTGAATATCAAAAAGGTCATGATTGTGTTCGAGCCATTTCACTCCAGGGTGCTTTAGAAATTAAATGTTTAGGTTAAATTTTAGCCAATGGCCAATATTACTGTGTTGTAATATTGGTGCATTTCAATTATTATAAATATAAAAATAATTATATTAAAAACGAATAATAAATGGAACACAAAATCTATATCATTTAAATTAATTTCAATGCACATTATTCCAAATACACAACACATTTGATCAAACCTCCCCTCCAAATGAATGAATAAACATAGACACGCTGCACGGTTAGCATTAACAGTCATTGTTCTTGCTATGTCACATGAGAAATAATTCAGACGTGTCATTTTTTGCTGCATCATGGGAAACAATGGTGAAGTGTCTCTAGAGGACGCACGTGTGTCCTACAGCACAGCTTCAGTCTTGGACAGGACGATCCCTGATGAATTAACAATGAAATACCTGTCTTTTAGAGCTGATCGACCCCTGTCAGACGTTTCCCATCATGCATCAGTTCCACGTTGTCCTTCATGAGGCCATTAGGACTGAAACAGCATCTCTGCTGCGACACCAGCGCTGAGCACAGCAGGATTGTGGGTCTGTAAAAGATTACACACACACGTGTTTCAAATGGAAATGCACAAGCTAGCATGCTCTCTGATCACTTCTGAACACTTCACACCAAACAATCTGTCACTACGCACATGCTTTCACAACCTTAATTCAGTGGAAAAGTTAGTAGACGTGACCAGAAGTTGATGTTATAGCTTCAGGATGACAGAGATGTTAGTGTAGGAAAGACAAAATCTCAAAAAAAATGTTAAAATAATCTTATTGACCTTGTATACTGGTTCCAAAACATGCAGGTTAATCTATTATAGGCACTGAACAATACAAATAAATCAGACATAAACAAATGTTTGAAGAACGAAGTTCAACATTTTTCAACATTAACCGTCAGTGTAACGATGACTGTTAAAGACAGGTGTGGATGTACACAAACACACCTTCATCATGGCAGATTTCAGTTATTTTGTGTCTACATGGTTTGGTGCTCAAACACGCCTCAGTTCCAGCGAAATGTTTACAGACAAACACTGGAAGGTCCTGTCGGGAAACGGGGATTGAAAACAGTGTCAGTTGAGAGGAGAAATGATGCCAATGCTTTTGCGTTCCCTCGAAAAAACTTTTCGGTAGCAAAACTTTTAGTTCTTTGCAATAATTATACACTGTAAAAATGAATATGCTTTATCTAATCAATAAAATTGTGGCAACAGATTACAAGCAATATTATTTATTAAATTGAACAAATAAGAATTGAGTAATAGTTAATAAAATTAACATTCTAATTAATTCCAATTTGTACAATTTAATTAATAATATTGCTTGTAATATGTTGCCACAATTTTATTGATTAGATAAAGCATATTATTTGTTTCAGTGTGCACAGTAGACACACATATATTATGTGAACACAAACTTTTATTTTGGATGCAATTAATTGCGATTAAAATAATTAATTAAAATACATTTTGTTCTTGTGACAGTCGAATTATTTATTTACATTACCGTATACAATTATTATTTACTCATGAAGCAGATTTACTTCCTTATAATAACCAATTATTATAGATATACTAAACTACTATTATAACTCTATTATTCTTGTATTATAGATCATATCTTGTTTTTATTATTATAATGCAATTATTACATACAATATTGACGATTGTGATGTTTAATATAATATAGTAATATCTCATGGTATATTTTTAGTTAAAAGGAAAATTAGAGACTTTGAGCCAAGTCTCTTTTAAATCTTTAAAACAAGTGAACAAATCTGGCGACGCATGGCTGATTTTGTGTGCCGACAATGTACAAGAGTGTGAACGTGTGTGTCGGTCAGACTAATTAAAACTCAGTCCAGCGCTGGAACGACACACACACACACACACACTGCAGGATGAATACTAATGACCCGCATCGGCTCTTACACGCCACTGATCCAGGGTCAGATCCTGCATGAGAACACCTCATTACAGTCATCATTGCAGCTTCAGAGGAACTGATCCCAGAACATGAGTCCAGCAGGTCATTATCAGTCCACAAGGGTTTGATATAGAGCTTATTTATGCGGCTGTACTTTATGGGCAATAATTATATTCTGAAGCCCCACCAGGAATAATAATATCTCTCGCCTCTTCTCTTCCCTTCACTGCATACATTTCAATCTGAGTGATCTTCATCATGCACACATCTTTAATACGCAGCATAGCCTTGTATTTTGTGACAAATTCCCTGAAAACACTCTTAAGAGAGAGAGATCCCTCTCTGAGACTCACAGGCACAATGGCATCAGCGCTTCAGAGGCACTTCAGAAAGAAACACGTATTAAACTCTCCACTCTGCAATTAGATAGCCACTTAACCACGGGTTCAGGCCCAATTAAGTAATTAAGCCACTCGGTGTTGTCATAAAGGGCGTTAATGACTGTGAACTTCCTCCATTCCCACCGGGCCATTAACACAGGCTATTCACTGTCCCCACACACACGATGAGTCACACACAAACACACATGCTCAAGTTCAGTCCTGCAGACCTCAAATGGTGTGTAAGCAACATGACGAGCATAAATGTGCACAGGTTTAACTACGCATCACATCACACATCAAACCCTGTATTTATCCAAGTATTCATTTTACAGAAATAGATTAAAATATATTTGTGGAATTCTATTATTTATTATAGACCATTTCACAAGATGTAAACAACACTGGTCCAGAAACACTTCCTGTTTCAGTTTGTAACTGTTTTCTTTATTTCACATGTAAAGAAAACATCTTAAAGATGTTTGTTTAACTTTTTGATTCAGTTTTAAATGTTCTGTTGGTTGTATTTTATCCCAGCTTTTATGTAGTGTTAAAAAACTGAAACAGGAAGTGCTTCTGGACCAGTGTTGTTTACATCTTGTGAAATAAGTCATAGTGCCATCAGCATTTCAGATTCAGATTCCTTTATTTGTCATTTTCATGGTGTACATAAAAACGAAATTGTGTTTCACACATACACTATTCAGTAATTCAGTGCACAATTTAAATATAAGTATAAGAATACTAGAATACATTAAAAAGATAAAAAAAATAAAAATAAATAAAAATGAAAATAATAAATAAATATATAGTTCAAATCATGTTCTCTGGTTAAGAAGTCTAATAGCTGAGGGAAAGAAACTGTTTAATAGCCTACTAGTTCTTGCCCTGATACTTCTGTATCTTTTACCAGACTGAAGGAGTATGAACGTGACACATGAGAAATGAGTAAAGTCCTCAACGATGCGATTTGCTCTGTACACACAACGCTCTCTGTAAATGTCCTGAATATGTGGCAGTGACACACCAATGATTTTTTCAGCAGTTCTCACAATCCTGTTAAGCTTATAGCATCGTATACAAGCTGAGTCTGTGTCTGGCTCTGGAACTGCACAAAAACATCAAGACTCATTAAGATATTCTTCTTTATATTCTTATTATGGTAATTTAATATGAGAAATATCCCATGTGTCACCACCAAAACATCTAGATATCATAATCAAACTGGACTGGACACTATCTGTGTTTGTCTCTCTGTGCCCTTCCCTGCAGCGGTGTGTGTGTTCATGACAGATGCTCGTGTGTGTCTGTAGGCCTGCCTTTGTTCACACTGCATCATCATCACTGGAGGAGCTGGCGCTTCACACACTGACACGAACGCCCTTCCTTCTACAAACTCTCCGTTTGATGCTTCAGTGTGTGTAAATAAACCAATCTATTTAAGAGATTCGCTGTTTCGTGTAATACGGTTCTTCATTAAACAAGCTTTGTAAAGGCAGGATTTCCTCCAAGATCTTGTTTGTCCGTATCAGTTTCAATGGATCTATACTGCATCTGTGCTCAAGACAAAGACAGAGTCTCTTCACATTTCAGAGCGGCTCGAGTGAGAGCAGAACTACATTAGGAAGTTCATTGGGTCTCTATATGGAGGAGGACTCATTTGTTCTGTCCTGACCACAGGTTCATATTACACACACTTTACTGAGTGCTGAGACTCTAGACCTGTGGGAACCAGCGGTCGACCGCCTCAAACACACACATCTAAGAGTGTGACGAGATGTAAAATTAAAATGTGACGATTATATGAATATGAGAATTTATACTCAGAAAGTACAACTGAAGTGACATTCATTACAAGGACTGTCACAATTCCTCAATTAAATTCGAGGGCTCGATTAAAAAATCCTCTATTGCAGTTTAACCGGAAGTGGTGTATTCCACGTTTGAGAATCCATGAACCGCATTACTTGATTGTTTTCTAAGGCTGCACCATATATTATTTAAAAAAAATCACAATATAGCATAGTGCTAACATTTATAAACCTACACAAACACAGGAGAATACATCGATATTTCAAAATAAAAGTTCCTCCGAGTTTGCATGTTTTGATGTCCACATGCTCTTGTTCAGGGAATTACAGTAGCTGTAATACTGTAAATAAGTGGCTTAATATTAAAAATTAAGTAAACATTTGGATTAAATGTTGTTTGGCCAATAATAAACAAAGACTTTCAGTCGAATAAAAGACTATTTTTCCAGTCGTACTTTGACATTGAAGATTTTATATTTCTTGAAAACGCCCTCTTGTCTCGTTTTCCTGAACCCAGTATTGTGTATCGTCTCACTCGCTTTTCTAGTGTTTGCCATTACATGTGTATTTATCAGGGGTGTGACATGTAATGGCACACTTGAAAAGCCCCGCAAATCATTGCAATAAAACTGTGCAAATAGAGTTTAAAATATTTTTGCAGTGATGATACCACAGTATAATCATGGTAGCACACATCCTGGGATGAAGAGAGAAAGAAAACCAGATGTACAAAACCGGCATGATGCTAGGGTGTTGTTAGAGGTTGCTAGGGTGTTGTTAGAGGTTGCCAGGGTGTTGTTAGAGATTGCTAAGGTGTTGTTAGAGATCGCCAGGGTGTTGTTAGAGGTTGCTTGGATGTTGTCAGAGGTTGCCAGGGTGTTGTTAGAGGTTGCTAGGGTGTTGTTGGTTGCCAGGGTGTTGCTAGAGGTTGCTAGGGTGTTGTTAGAGGATGCCAGGGTGTTGTTAGATGTTGCTAGGGTGTTGTTAGAGATTGCCAGGGTATTTTTAGAGGATGCTAGGGTATTGTTAGAGGTTGCTAGGGTGTTGTTGGTTGCCAGGGTGTTGCTAAAGGTTGCTAGGGTGTTGTTAGAGGATGCCAGGGTGTTGTTAGAGGATGCTAGGGTACTGTTAGAGGTTGCCAGGGTGTTGTTAGAGGTTGCCAGGGTGTTGTTAGATGTTGCTAGGGTGTTGTTAGAGGTTGCAAGGTTACTGTTACATACTGTACATATTTGTTATTCTATGGTATTCTGATCTCTAGAAATGGCTCATGTACTTCTGAGTAGAAGTTCAGCCAAAAAGTACAAATGAAGAAAGAGAAAAGAAATGTGAATCATTCTTAGAACAATGAAAAAGGCTGACAAAAGAAACAGTAGGACAGGGAAACAAAGAAAGCAAACAAGAGACAGATTGATACACACG